TTTAACAAATCGCTGTAACTTTTTTGGTATGGAAAATTTTATATTTTTATGAAAACATTTCCAGAGCACCTTTTTACGAGAATTTAATGGTTTAAGTATATTTTTTTTTAAATTAATAATTTAAGAATTATCAACAGAAAATTTGATTTTTTATATGGGACACTCTGTATACTTTTAATTTATTGAAAAAAAATTAAAATTACCTTTCCAAAAATATAATACACTTGATATTTTACTCGATTCCTCTTCGAGATATAGAGTATATAAAAATTCGCCCGCTTCAAATAAGTAGGCTTTGAACGGCACCGGCTGTAATGCAAAAAAATTCTAGCTGTGAGCATCAATTAAAACGAAAATAGTATTTGCAATGAGAGATGCAGAATTTTATAACAATTTAAAATATATTTAACCAACATCAACACATTTAAACTATATCTAATAACAATAAAAATAAATAAAACATGAAATTTTGCTACAGGTGTTCGACATATCAACCGTCTTCTGTTATGGGCAGACGGGGCAGTTTTTGAACATTTCTCGCGGAATTCATCAACTCAGTGGGGGTGTAAGATACCCTCTCATAACTGCATTTCTAATTCTTGTCTAGATTATACGGAAGAATAAGGAACCTTTATTCTTCCGCAAATATATCCATAGGATTAGATCCATGGGCAGTAAGTCAGGCGGCCTCGACGGCCAACGGCTGGGATCTTGGTTAGCTATTCAACTATTCTTGAAATTGGCTGCAAAAAGTTGCTGATAACTTCAGCGTTCAGAGGCGGTGCGTCGTCTTGCTGGAAAATATATTTTCGGGTTCCATTAAGGGCATATCATCAATAAGAGGTCCAAAGCCTACTAGTTAAAAGTGGCGAACTTTTAAAAATCGTGTATTTCGAAGGGGATTGTAACAAAATATCAAGTGTGCTATATTTTTGGAAAGGTAATTTTAAATTCTTTTTAGTTAATTAAAAATATAGAGGGTGTCCCAACTAAAAACTAAATTTTTCTGTTGATAACTCTTAAATTATTAATTTTAAAAAAATTATACTTAAACCATTAAATTCTACGTAAAAAGGTGATTTGGAAATGTTTTCATAGAAATACCAAATTTTCCATAGCAAAAAAGTTACAGCAATTTGTTAAAAATGCACATTTTTGAAAAACACCCCATAACTCCGAAACGGTAACAGATATTGATGTGCGGTTTTCACCATCATGTTTTTGATGAAAATTGAGCTCCAGACACCGATATTAGTTTTCGTCTATCTCCTATAAAAAAGGGTGTTTCCATTTAAAAGCGTCGAATTTGGCCCACACTGTACATATTTTTTTGTACCGTTTCTTTTCTCCCATCTAAAATTATGAATAACGGAGTTAGCAGTTTATCACATTTCACCGAAGCTAAATATTAGGCTCTCTCTATGGAAAATATCTCCCTATCCTACAGCAAGCTGTTACTAGGAATATTGTATTAATTTTAATTGTTTTTTAGACATTGTGAATGATCGTAAACTGAAAAACACACAGTGTAATTGAAACCACTAATTTATTCCACTAAGTGCGAGGTTCAGAATGAAGCTTAAGCATACAAGTACGAAAATATATAATTAAACTGACGTAAAGTGTCAAATTCAACGAGCGTAACCATAGTTTCTCGATGTATAATTACATACAAGGTATTACTTTTAATACCAATACATACTTCAATACATACATCAATATAAATAAAATAATATACAGGGTGTCCCAGAAATGAGTGCAGATATTTTAAGAGGTGGTAGATCTGGTCAAAATAAACATATTTTCTCTTTACCATTTTTAAAATAAATTGAAAATAACTGAGTTATTTAACTTTGAAAATTTAAAAAAATAATCGCAACATTTTGAGAACCGCCGGCAGGTACATTCAATTACCCGGATCAAGCCCGGATTTCAGTTAATTCGACGCACTGTGTTGCCATATGGACAAGAAAGTATATGTTTACAAGTAAGTCATAAAATCACAACACCTGAGGAGTTTGCAGAGATGCATTACATTTTTAAGATTGTGATATTATTACATAAAATAAATTAAAAGTTAAATGTTTAAAAGTTAAATTAAAAAAACTTACCCAACATTAAAAAGATACTTATGACAGATCGATGTAACTGCGACAGTTCTCTTTTTCGATACACACTTAACTAAAATACACTTCATTGTGCTGCTTACTTGTACGTGCTATTATAAAAACTGCTAAAATAACAGTCCCCATTTTTAACTTAACACATTATTTTCGTATAGGCTTCATCACAATTTGAACCACTGATTTACAAAACACCTTGAAAAGCACACATTACACATTACTTTGAATATCTTTCTGAATGAATAAATGTTGAGAATTATTGTCTCTTACCGCCACTTTACGAACTACTTTCAATCTAAGAAAATACATGTTTCACTCAACAATTTTAAATACGTATTTTGCTTTTTCGCTATTTTTTCGATGTATTTCGACAATTCCGTCAACAGCCCAACCATCCGTCGGCCAAGACAGCCACGCATCACTGGTTGGTAACTGCTCACTGCTTCTTTGTCGCGCCGGCGTGTCGAGCTTGCGTCATGCGAGGTTGCCGTAGTTTCAACAATTTCAAATTCAAGACACTCGAAGCAATCAAATTCTTATTAAATTTTAAAAATAAAACAGAAAAACATGAAAGGAAACAAACAAAACACAAATGAATTGATTATTGATAAGGTCACAAAAAGAAATTTCTAAATTGTTTATCGTAATTCAGAATTCAATATATCGAAAACAGCCCGACGAATAATCAATTCATTTTCGTTTTGTTTGTTTCCTTTCATGTTTCTCTGTTTTATTTTTAAAATTTAATACATATTTGATTGCTTCGAATCTCTTGAATTTGAAATTGTTGTAACTACGGCAACGTTGCTTAACATCGTCGTCTGACGCAAGCCTGCCACGACGGCGCGGCTCAAAGGACCAGTTCACACGTGGCACTCTTGGTCGACACGCGACGGTCGGGCTGTCAAAATACATCGAAAAAATAGCGAAAAAACAAAATACGTATTTAAAATTGTTGAGTGAAACATGTCTTAAATTGAAAGTAGTTCGTAAAGTGGCGATAAGACGGTATTCAAAGTAATGTGCGCTTTTCAAGGTGTTTTGTAAATCAGTGGTTCAAATAAAACAGAGAAACATGAAAGAAAACAAATATTGAATTCTAAATTACGATAAACATTTTAGGAATTTCTTTTTGTGACCTGGTGTGAATAATATGATGAATCATTTTCGTAAACGTCATAAACGTAATGTTTTAGTTAATTTTCGGTGGTTTTTGTTAAGTTTTCATTGAAAGGGTAAGTAGGTACTAAAAATAATTAATGTGTTTTTTTTCTATAATAATTATTAATAATGAGCACTGATAAAAATTTAACATTCTTAATTTTTGAGTAGAAATTTTTCTATGAATTTATAAATGTAGAACTATGTAGAATGAATGTAAATTTTCAACATTTTTTTTTCGCAAAAAAACCTTATAGGCGTGTTTCTGGGGTTGAACTATACTACCAGTTAAAATATTTGCACTTATTTCTGGGACACCCTGTATGTGCTGGATAAAAAACACTTTCATTAAAAGGGTAAGCTCTAACTAAACATTAAAGGTTATAATTGTTTATTGAAACGATTGAAAATATTTCCTAATATGGCGAAAAAAGAAGCTAATTGTTAAGATTTATTTTTTCAGTTTACTCCACTGAAAAAAGTATTTAAAATATTGCGCGTTTCTCTACAATTAGTAGAGCAATCTACACTAATATGAATAAAATTAATTTTCGTATTTTTTTCTGTAGCAACTTAAAATAATTGAATTTATAGATAAACATGCAGAATGTGGGTATGGTAGGAGGTGGCAACGTTGCATTCTCTCCGACACTCTCTATGCCCGGTAAACGAATTCCCGGGGAGTGAACAGTGGCACTCAAAAGTTTTTCAACATTTTCCGGAAAATGTCAAGAAAAATATAAAATTTTCAACATTTTTTTTTCGCAAAAAAAACCTCATAGGCGTGTTTCTGGGATTGAACTATACTACCAGTTAAAATATCTGCACTCATTTCTGGGACACCCTGTATAATAATTTACAAAATAGAAAACAAATTTCTTGCAGTATAGGTATATAAAAAAATTATATAAGGATTCTTGCCACTTAACTGCTTATATAGAAATTTAATTCTACGCTGTGTTTGTCATAATGTGGACCAACCTGCTCTCACTACCGGTTTCGGAGCCCTACTCCATCATCAGGTGAGCTTGGGCAGATCCACAAAATGACAACCACAGCGCAGAGATAGTTAATTCCGACTTGTCAGAAAGTGTCGGTTAAATATTAAGTCCCGAACGGGAGATAGCGGCCTGCGTGCAATGGTAGTACTTTCGTACCACCGAGGCAATGGTAGTACTTTCGTACCACCGATTTTGTAGATCTGCCCAAGCTCACCTGATGATGGAGTAGGGCTCCGAAACCGGTAGTGATAGCAGGTTGATCCACATTATGACAGATACAGCGTAGAATTAAATTTCTATATCAGCAGTTAAGTGGCAAGAATCCTTATATCATTTTATTATATACGTATACTGCAAGAAATTTGTTTTCTATTTTATAATTTGGCTTGCCTGAAAAAAAGCCTTTTACCATCTTTTTACTATCGATAGTTTCGCCTCGGTGGTACGAAAGTACTATCATTGCACGCAGGCCGCTATCTCCCGTTCGGGACTTAATATCAAACCGACACTTTCCGACAAGTCAGAATTAACTATCTCTGCGCTGTGGTTGTCATTTTGTGGATCTGTCCAAGCTCACCTGATGATGGAGTAGGGCTCCGAAACCGGTAGTGAGAGCAGGTTGATCCACATTATGACAAACACAGCGTAGAATTAAATTTCTATATCAGCAGTTAAGTGGCAAGAATCCTTATATAATTTTATTATAATAATTTACCTGTGATAACTGATACATGAGCCTGAAAACTCAAATACGATAAGATTGTTGTTTCGTCGCTGCTATCTTCCTTTTTTAATACAGAACTTTCAATGTTCAAATTATAGAGACCTACAAGACCGTTAGAATATCCCACAGCTACGTAATTGTGACCTGCAGCCTTGAGTACAGGATACCACCAAAAAATAAATTGAATATAAGAAAAAAATAATTTAAAAATAAATATATTTACCTTGCTCCATGATATTTTTGTGGCATAATATGGACGTTTATCTAAAGCCTCGCTATCTTCATTCAGTTGTAACCTAACAACTGGTTCCCCTCTACGAATGAGTCCTCTAAAACCACACATATTAGTAACATCTCATTAAAATAATGATATAGCAGGTTTCACAGTTTTCATTGTTTCCCCATTAAGCATTATAAAAAATATATTTTTTTAATTAAATTGAACCAAGTCAGGCTGTTGTCACTGGCACCATCTATTATTAAAAAAACATACAATTTTGACTGACTTGATCGTGATCCGTCAATTTGTTTTCCTTCGTAGTTGCGTAAGTTTTTAATTCGGTTTAAGAGAAAGGAGTAGCCTATTTCAACCCCTCAGTAATTTTTAAAAGGTGAAAAATAATGCAGATATTGTTTTCATTAGTAGTAATATCCTATAAAATTTTATTAATCTGTCTCACCGGATTGTCTTAACATGAGGAAAAACTTTTTTATTATTGACAATTTGAGAAAAATGCATTCCCCATAAAATTTTTGCTGGTTCTAAAATGGTTAATCCCGTTTATACTTCTTTAAATTTCCATACCATTTTAGAGAAAAAAAAACATGAAAATATAGTAGTATATTCAATGTTTATGCTACCTTTGATAACAATTTTTTTTACCATGCAAGAATAATGATACCAAAAAATACCAGAAATCTGACAAAAATATTACTTTCCAACTATTGAAATCGATTAAGACTGCGGTAATGTTTTCAAAAAACTCAAATATTTGACAAAGGTCATAAATCCTACAAAACATGTCATTAAGCTATAAGAAAAAAAAATATAATTTTTATTTTTATAAAAAGACCCTGCCTGTGCAATCTCAGTTGTTCCGGGATGCCGAGTCAGACAACGGCTTTATTTATATCTGTTATATTTTAACCTGTTTCGAGAACAAACATCGACCATTGACCGATACAGCTATTGCAAAAAAGATGCTCAAATGCATGTTTTTCTTAAAGATCAGCCGTTTTTTTAATCGTATGATCCTGAGTGTCTGACATTAGTGATGATAATATTTAAGGACCTTGAACAAATTGCATTACAAATATAATTGTCTAAAATTTTCCCTATGTAAACGTTTTTATATCCGTTACAGTTTTTGAGATCCTAATACTGCCATCTGTAGTTTCAGACACATTATAAATATAAATAATAATTTTAAACAAGTAACTAAAATGGTTTAATTTGAATTCCCGCTTGTTTTGTAATAATTCTTTCCTAAGGACACCAGACGGCGCTACGTGCAACTTAATCTTGAAAATATACTGTCAGTTGCCTATCTATTTGAGTACATATTTATAATCTTTATATATGGCCTCTCACAACCTATCTCAGTCGTCGCGCGATACCGAGCCAGAACCGAAAAAAACGCCGTTACCTACCGCCCCACTCCATTATATCTCGACGCCGCGCCCCCAGTTATCAATGGTTGTTGAAATAACTACATTTTTTCATACTAGTTATTTTTGGACCTGATTCGAGCTGTATAAAATTTCGTGGCGCTGCAGAGCGTCGGCCTCGTATCATGAGCCGTCGATCTCTACGTGTTGTTATTCTATATCTGTTATTTTTTAGAAGATGCGTTATCTTATTTCTAAATAACTGCTATAAAGTAACATATCTCTATTTCGTAGTCTATATACAAATATGATGTATTAACAAAACATCCTTACCTGTCATCATTATTTACTCTATCTATACAATAAATATACACGAATGAATCGGACGCTGCCACAGCTAACAATCCTAATCTAGGCCCGTCATCCACACAATCCAGACAACCAGAAGGGCACCATTCCATATGCCATATCGGTCCCACATTAGCTGCCAAACCAGACATGAAATAAGGTTCTTCCTTTGCCTGTTGCTGAACTTTCAATTTTCCGAAGTTCCAAAACTGGATCAGGCAAGGATCACGATAGATTTTATTAGAGTCGTATTCCGTATCCATTGAATTTAATATAGATACTGCTAGTATTTGGTCGTGGTTACCGTCTTTATCTTGATCAGTTGGTAGCCATGCTATACTATTGATAGGACCGCCGCAATATATGGCGTGGTTATCTAAAGAAGAGATTAACAATAAAAATTAAAACAAAAATTAAAAAACATAAAATTGTGAATTTTATATTTCAATTGAAAAAATATCAACCAATTTCAAATGATTATTATAAAAAGTCATCTACTGTATACTATAATATAGTGATAAGCATTCTTTTTAGTGAATGACGATTTTTTTTAGTGAATCGAATCACACGATTCAATTTCTCATATTGAATAGACTCCTACCATTCGTTCATTTGAAAGAACCACATGCACAATTTACATTATATAAAAACAAAGATCGTAACTGGCACTACCGGCGATAATTTGGTCGGATAATTACTTAAGGGACCAGAAAAAGAAATACCACAGCCCGACTCTACTTAACAAGCCGTGAACAAGGAAATCTGGCAACACTTGTTTCAGATCGATCGATACACGTTTAGCCATATGATTGACGTTCATTGACCTGTTGCTCTGTTATGTTTTTGTAAATAAATCCGCTTTTTTGAAAGAAAATATTGTTTAGTTAAAGACTAAAGTTGTGAAAAGTCTTACTGTGTGAGATTTGTAAGTTACCGGGACAATTTTTTTCTGTAGACATTGCGTAAAAACAAATATCCGTGGGTGAAAAATTCGCCGGGTTATAAGCGAGGTAACTTTCTTCAAAGAATGGCGGCAAATTCGGCGGTGAATGGACATTTTGTGGTGCTTTTTAAAACAATTTATTGAAAGTTAGTTGTTGTTGTAATCAACAATTACCATGCCCAGTCCTTGTTGTGTGCCTGGGTGCAAATCCAATTATAAAACTTGTCTTGATGCAAGAGAACTAGCGGTATCTATTATTACTTTTCCAAAGGATGAAAACCTTAAAGCCCAATGGCTTAGGAATATTCCTAGGGAGGCATGGTCACTCTCAAAATATTATGTGGTTTGTGCTAAGCATTTTGTAGAAAGTGACATTATTAGGGAGGAGGATTATCGCTTGCCAGATGGATCAATGCAAAAGGTACCTACTAAAACTAGACTAAAGTTAAATACAGTGCCTAGTATCTTTCCAAATTTGCCATCACTTGTCAAAAACAGTCCCTGTTCCCCGAAAAAGTCCTGCTGAAAGAACAAAAGAAATGCAAGATCGAAGTGAGCAATTTAAGCATTTCTTTGGTTATTTCAGCTACGCGCCTCGCTAGCCGGTAAAACGGACCGTCGCGCATTCGCGCTCGCTAGAAACCGATCTGAATCTCTTGCCAGTTGCGGCGTTGCCAAATGGTTGTTCACGGCTTGTTAAGTAGAGTCGGGCTGTGGAAATACAGTTCTTTCATTTGTTTTACAACACTTTATGGCACTGGCATAAATGGATTGATTATTTTACTAATAATATTAAATGATCAATCCAATATGCTATTTATTAAAGACTTCTTAATACCAATTTAATATTTTTAGACAAAAAATGACATGCAGTTAGCTTGGAAATGAACATTGATGACATTCCCCATATAATTTTACATATAAAATGACAGCGACCTTCATTTGATAACCATCGCTGACGCCGTCACTTTTATCATATTGAGCGGAGGCCAGCAGTATTTATTTGTAGTTGCATAAAAACACGATTTCGTCTTTTAGTCCGACATTTAATGCTTTATAGTCGGTAAATATTATTTTAACAAAAATATTAACATGAAAATTAAATGCATTACAGATACTCCCGTACTAAGCACAGTATAAATTCCGACATTTAATGCTTTATAGTCGGTAAATATTATTTTAACAAAAATATTAACATGAAAATTAAATGCATTACAGATACTCCCGTACTAAGCACAGTATAAATAAGTTTTTTTCTTGTAAATAACTTTCTTATTGTTTGCATTTTGTGATCAAGTCTAAATATTGGTACCCGACTCTCTCTATGCCTATATCACCGCCGCGCCGTAGAAACGACCTAGTCGCATTATGATCCGATTCAATTCTCACGGCTCTTTTTTATGGCTCATCGTTCAAATTTTATGGATCCGTGCTGGTCACGATTCAATTGAACGAACCGGATTGTAAGCAATGAATCAATTCTCACGACTTTTTGAACGAACGATCGCATTGTGAACCGATTCAATTTTTACTACTCTTTTTTACGGCTCATTGTTCATATTTTATGGATCCGTGCTGGACCACGATTCAATTGAACAAACCGTATTCTAAGCAGTGAATTGAATCTCACAATTAATTTTTAATACTCGTTCCAATGAACGACTCGTTCAATCTTTGCCCACCTCTACTATAGTATTCTATTTACGTTAATTAGTATGTATAAATGTACGTATGATTATTATGACGAAAAAAATGGCGTCCAGTTGGCTTGGAATTGAGGATCGATCAAAATGACAATCGATATAATTTTACATATAAAATGACAGCGATCTTCATTTCATAGCCATCGCTGAAGCCGTTTTTTTTTCGTATCATATTGTATATTCAATTGTTTACAACTGACAATGTTCATTCATTTCTAAGTCTATATTGGAAAGATTATCCCTTCATATTTTGTTGTAAAGTTTACAAAATAGTATTCTATACTACTTATATTACAAATATATGTTTGAAAAGCCCTAATATAAATCATTTAGACAGTCCAAATTCTGCGTACAATCCCAATATGCAATATGCTCGTCAATTCTTTTGGCCAACATAGAGAGACTATTGGTCGCGTTGCCGGCATTGGCTGAGTTAGCCTAAGCAGTGGCGACCAATTGTAGCGACCGTCTGTTGTAGTTTTTTTCAAGACATATCAGAGATGATCCCCTACACATTGACCAATACTCTGGTCAGTGCGTTAGGCCAACGTGTAGAGGGGACTTTAGAACTGCGGAGCGAATAGTTCTTGAGGAAGCAGTTCTTTTAAGAAACCGGAAACTAGTTCTTTTCATTCCGGGGTAGGAACAGTTCACTGGAACTAGTTCGTTCACGAACTACACACCTCTACTTGTAGTTAATTTATGATGACTTTTTTATACCAAAACTTTTTCCCTACGCCTTTTTTTTTGGCATATATAATAAAAACATTTTACAAAGATTTAGTTGGAAATGGTTCAGAAAAGATATAGATTAAGATTAGCCTTGAAAGTTTAATTCAATAGAAGATTGTGTATTCCATTATTTTATAAATACCATCCATTTAAATCAAATATTACATAGCCGAATAGGCTATAACCATTTAACAAATTACATTAGATAATAATTATCAAGTTTATTGCAAAAATGACGACATTTACTCACCGTTAAACTCTTTAACCTGAAATAATTCCATTTTAATGAAATCCATCTCACAGCCTTTATAATCATTTTGTTTGGGATGCAATAATTTGACAGTCACATCACAAGACACGTGATTATCGGGAAGATACGCGTCTAACAGCTCACTATCAACTAATTTACATGCGTTCTTATTACGTAAGGCATTGTGAAGAGCCAAGCTAGAATAATTCTCTTTGCAACTAGAAAAAATTATAAAATTTGTATAATAGAAAATGAGAAGAGCAAAAAATTGTAGATACTTACAATTCTTTCATCCAGACAAATGCCTGTTGGTATAGTAAATTTGAAGCACTTTCTGTTATAGGATATATCAAAAACATCGGTTTTACTAGAAAAAAAGATGGCAAACATATTATATATATATATACCCTGCTGGTAAGCCAAACTTTGGGTCGGCATTTACATGTATAGGAGATAGGAGTGAGTCGCTATGGCAATCTAGTAAGTCGGAGAGAGCAAAAATATGAAGTATTTATTACATAACGACTTAATCTGACGCTAGATTCCATGCGCTTGGGAAAATACTCGCATTCTGTCTTTATTCAGTACATCTTATTTTACTAAGCGTGTTGACCGTACTCTTCGTACACATGAAAATCGGCACCCAAGACCAGAAATGCCGACCCTAGTATACACGCTGCTGTGGACCCCCTATTCGATTCGCACAGTTTAGTTAGTGTCCATGAGCTGTTGTGTGTTTGTTTCTTTTTCAGCTGTCTAGTAGCTGTTCATATTCAGTGGATCGTTCTTTTAGTTGTTGGTGTCTACTCTAGCTGTGGTGACTTCCTGAGGAACTTTAGTCTTTCTAGTCGAATATCAAGGACAATTCTGGTTCTGACGAGTCTGTGGTCGCTGCCTGTTCAAAACTTGTTAATAATGCCCACATATTTTACCGTGTTCATCTTGTTGGTTAAGATTAAATCAGGTTCATTCTCTCTCCTAGTTTCATCACTATAAGCTTGCCATGTCCATTTTCTACTTTCTTCATAAAATATACAAGTCTCTCACCTCTTTCATTTCGCTACCCAATTCCAAAGTTTCCGAGTTGTTGTCTTTGTTCTTATTGTTTTCCCACCTTTGCATTGACGTCTCCTATTACATACTTAAAATAACTATTATTGCTGTCCAATGCTTGGTTGATATAGAATTCTTCTATTTCCTTATCTAAACGACTGGGACGTATACACTCCAACAATTAGCCCTCCGGACGAGGAAGCAGAAGAATTCTATATCAAATAAGCATTGGACAGTAAATATGTCATTACAAATATCTAACAGAGCAACAATATGAACAAGAAGATGTGAGCATTCTTAACAAGTTTCGAACATGCAGCGACCACAGACTCATCAAAACCAGAACAGCCCTGGATATTCGACTAGAAAGACTAAAATTGAACAGGAAGCCAATAACAGCTAGAGTAGACACCAAAAAACTACAAGAATGATCCAGTGAATATGAACAGCTACTAGACAGCAGGCTGCCTGAAGAAGAAACAAACACGCAACAGCTCATGGACACTATATTAAAATGTGTCGAAGAAATAGAGGACCCACAATAGAACAGACAGAATAAGTAAGAACAGACAGAATAAGTAAGACAATAAGAAGAAGGATTGCAGAAGACATCAAACACTAGAATGAAAAACTTATAATAAATACAGTGTGGCGCACCTCATTCGCCTCGGTTAATTATATGAAAACGGAAAGATGTAGAAACAAAATATTTTGAGGGTATATGTGGGCAGGCAATGTGCATAATTTAAAATTATTTTGAAATGTACAGGGTGTGTCAGATCTAAAATCCATACCAAAGTTATATTTTTTCTTATGGAACACCCGGTATTTTATTTCATTTTTGGATTCTTGAACATAAAATAAGGCATTTATTATAAGCGTTTAATATGTTTAAAAGCTTTGGTTTTTTTTAAGATATTTAAATATGCATGCTATAATAAAAAAGTTTGTCAACACCTTGTACATTACTTTTCAGAATTAATTCTTGTGCTGACTTTCATGCCAGAGAAATAAACTTTACTAAAAAAATTGATTGCTTCCTTAACTGTATACAGGGGTATCAAAAATTGATGGTCTATTTTAAATATTTATTTTACATAAAAACTTCGTTATTTCAAATGCAACACTATGTATTTTTTTAAATAAGTCAAAGCAGATTTAAATGCTCTTTGAAACTATATTAGGGTTTCATATACCTATCTAGCTCAGATTTTGAATAAAAAGCGATTTTTAAATAAAATTGCAATCAAGATGGCTGGTGTCGCCATGGCAATTTTCTAGTGACAGTCAGTAACTATTGTCAAAGTCGACATTAGTTTATGGATATTATTATTTATAATTTCTACTTAGATTTACCTACAATAGTTTAATAAGTAAGTATTTATTATTTTATCAAGAAAGGTAAAGCAGTATCTGCTGGCGCATGGCGGAACGAATGGATATATTACTAGTGATTTTATTTTGTGAGGAAAATTGCTTCTTGTCCTCAAGAGCTTATGCTCAAAGATATCCAAATAGGAATCATCCTAATAAGCGTTCCTTTGAAAAACTACTTGTCCTATTTCGCAGAGCTGGCAGTGTTGTTTATAAAAAAATTATTAGGCAGATACCTGTCGTTGGAAGTGAAGAAAATGAATTTGCCGTAATTGGCTCTTTTAGAGAAAATCCATATATCTACAAGGCATCGAAAAATAAATCAAGGAACTATTTCTCCGTTTTTCTTGATAGAATAATAAATACAAATTAAAAAAAAGTAAACTTGTATCGATCATATTCAAATCTAGTATGCCACTTTATTTAAGGAAGAAAACATTCAATCAATGTGTCTACTAGTCATGACCTACGCATGGAAGCTGTAGGTCGCACAATGCTCGATGTAAGGAAATATGCAGGGAATAACAAAGAAAGACTGTAGCTCACCAACGTTTGGTCAAACAGTCATATAACAAAATCGACAAAAATCAACCTGGCTAATAGTCTTTCCCGTTATGCTTTATGCTTCGGAGACATGGACATTGTTAGTAACCGACAGACGCATTGACTCTTTCGAGATGTGGTGTTGGAGGAGGATGTTGCAAATACTATGGACAGCACATCGCACCAATGTGTCGGCCTTTAACAAAATACCATTACCCCAAAGACTTTCCAGCACTGTCTATAAACATATCCTTTCCTTCTTCGGTCGTGTCAACAGGAGCGTGCTAATGGAGAGACTGGTAGTACAAGGAAAACCTGCAGGGTCCTGTCGCCGATGCACGATGTCGAGATCACCAACCAGGTGGGTGGACATGATTGAAAAACTTATGAATATCAACCTATAGACAGTCGTGCGAAGGATAGAAAACGAGGAACATTGGAGAGTGCGCCACCCTGGGCGGTGCGTGTGGCCGTCAGGTCCTTCAAGGAAGAACCAGAGCCACACATGTCGTACGCGACGGACGGACTTGTAGTGACGTTCTTGACATTTATCATTAATCAAAAGTTTAAATTGCTTACCAAAAACTTGTATTGCAGCTTTACTTTTCAATACGCTTCTTATCTTTTTCAACTCCCTTTGGTGATTTTCAATGACTTCATCTTCATGTTCATCCACAACATTATCACTTTTAAAATCATCGTCCAATTCTACTTTTAATGATGTTTTGTGTTCAGTTTTCAAATGATCCACAATATCTGGTTCGTTAGTGCATAATGTTACACATAATTTACAAACATAATACTGAAAAGGTATAATACATCCAAGTAGGATTTTGTACTATACAGAGCGATTCATTGTTTCGATAAAGCACCATATATAGTATTGATAAAAATATTTTTATCAAGACAAAAATTTATGCGATATAATGTATTGACTGCATGGTTTGTGGAATTTCAAACAATAATGAAAGCCAAAAAGGTTTTTAATTTCTTGATCCCAAACCTGTAAACGTCGCTTCATATCTAACATAAGGTGGCAAATCTACCACACCATATAGATAATATAAGATCTAACATACATTCGATATTATACAGATTTTGTCACTGTTGAAGCGTGGTTTTAGAACTCGTTTTACTACAGCCGTGATAGATTATAATTAAGCCTCGGTCTTAGAACTATGTTGCGTCGCTGGCGGAACTACATTAACAAATAATCATAATATTGTTTAATAATATTTTAATTTTATTGTTTTGTGTTGCTACCGTTGCTCGCGATCTGGCACTGCTATAGGTTGCTAAGAACAACCGCAAGCAAGAACAGAAATAATTTTCTCTTGTCAAAGTCAGAATCTTCAAAAAGTATAAAATCTTTCAAAATTTAAACCGCCCTCATTGAAAAAATACCGAAAAATGTTTAAAGTGTCCATTTTCAAAGTAATTATTACTATCTTGTGAGTTTAATTTAAATGTTATTCAGCCAAACCCGTGATAATTGTGAAAAAGTGGCATTAAAAACTTAAAAAGCTGTGTTGTGAACTGTGAACTGCAAAAACCACCATGGATCGTGGCATAACGTCAGTTTCCAGTGTTTCATAGGAATATCATACACGTCCTTATATAAAATAAAGTTTCTTGTATGCAACACACTGTATTTTATTTATAAAATTAAAAGAAAATAATAATAAATTTGAATAAATATTTGGCGACATAATTCCGGAAAAGACCAAACCGATCCGAAATTATCAAAAGCTTTGGGTCGCGACCGTTGCAAGAATAGCGCCAAATAGTATTTACATTGTCCTTATGAGCACTTTCCATTCTAAACTTGTCTCATTTATTTATGATACAAATTTTATTCGTTATGTAGCATGTAGCTCGTGGAAGTGCGTAGGTAAAATAGTATTTTAAATATTGCTAACGTAAGCAATGGAAAATTTGTAATTTTTCTGGTATAACGTATTTTGCTCTATCTCAAAATAAAGTGGTGAGGTGAGGTTAAACTTGCTTTTATTAAAATAGGGATAACACTGGTTTGGGCTAACGGATGTAGACAAGCTAAGGATCGTTTAAAGGACCTTTTTCACTCTAATAATCTAAAATATAAACTTTGTTTTCACAGATTTTTCCGTAGTAACTAGAGGGCGCTGTTTAACATCATATTATATATTGCCGTTTTTGCATAAAAATAAATAGCAGGTTATATTTCGTTTTGCAGTTAAATACAGCACACATTTTCAAAAAATCGGCGCCAAACCGCAACTTTCTATTATCTAAATATTATAGTCTGTCCAACGAGAAGATCCTTGACAGTTGCTAGATGTGTCTGTCATTTTAATTTCAAAGTAGTTTATTTTATTTTACAAAGAAATAAGTTGGTACAACTGGAACGCATAGCGAAATTAATATATTTAAAATTTGACTGACAAGTGATTACTTCAAAATATTGTGAAAAAAACTGTATAAAACTGAAAAAATGTAATGGAGCTATTTTATTTAATAAAAAACGGTATGTGTTAATACAAAACAAACAAAAACAAGAAACCACATACCAAAAAATATAAAAAAGAACTATTTCTTACTTTCAAGCTTTATGAAACTACCCGCATTTATGATTATATTTATCAATATAACTTATAGAGAAAATGTACAAATACAAAATTGTAATATTCCACAGGAATAAATAAAACAAACTATTTTATTAATAATAACACCAAATTTTATACCTTAAAGGTTGATTAATTAACTTTAATCTTAATTTTTTTAAACCAGTACCTTTTGACATTATTTTTCTGCAGTACTAAAATCCATTATTTACCTATCGTGTGATGTCGATATTTTACAGCTACTCTAGTTTTTAGTATGTGTTTAATATGGCCCTTCTACCATATTCGAGATGCACTTTTCTACGACGAGATGGTATACGAACTTTATTGATGGTAACTTTATTGGTGTATAAGACTTTCTGCCTGGGCAGCGAGTATTAACCATAAACTGTGCTCTGGGTCTACAGTTAATTTTCACTCGATTTTTCCTCCACTTGACTTCAAAAGACACAAAACAAACACGAATCAAAATGCATCATCTTCCAAAACGCAGAGTATTTGAAAAAAGTTGGCACAAAATTATAACCTATAATTTGGTAAGACTTTGACAGCCGTCAAAAATCTAAAGGCGAGTTCATACGCATCGGCGTCCGTTTGTCGTTCATCGTTCCGTCAAACCTGCGTCAAACCAATAAAATAGAAATACGATCTGTCATTTTTGAAATAAACCAATAAAACTGGTTAAAAACAACAAGAGACGACGGATGACGGATTTATATTTAAACCCATCCATAGTTAACTTAAAAATTATTAGAAACTTTTTTTAGTAAAATAAATAGATTGGTATGGGACGACATCTGCTTTTCTTCTGTCATCGTCTGTCGAAATCTTACCTGAGAAAAAAAAACAGAGTATAGATCTCTGGGAAACATTAACAGACAAATTCATTTGATGGTCCTGCCTAGGTCTATAAGCCCATGCTTACACTGAATGCGTGTCGGTGCACTTTTTGGTCGTACGTGCCGGGACGTGCACGCAGCAAAATACAAACAAATGATATCTACACATACGGTCACATTTCATAGGAGTTTGCGTTTCAGTGTACGTACGTCAATTACCGTTAGTTTGACCTTATCTATTGACCTTGATGGACAGATTCTTCAGCGGAACTGAAGAATCTGGAAGACTCCATCCGTAACTTGGGATGGGTGTCCTCCAACGGTCTAAGACACTCGAAAAAGTTCCTCAGAACTTATGACCGGGAAAAATCAAAGGTTTTCCTTGATTTAAGCAAAAACAATCTTCGGATTGTCACGGTGTTTCTAACAGGACACTGTCTCCTCAACGAACACCTCAGTAGGCTGAAACTGAGAAACAACAGCGAATGCAGATTTTGTGGGGAAAATGGGGAAACACCAGAACACCTTATTACTGAGTGCGCCGAGACGACGACCATTCGTGCCATGAACCTTGGTACGTCTGATGTCGAGGATGCAGAGCTGGCCTCTGTGGAGCCGTCTCAGATACTGGCTTTTGTTAAAGCCCTGAGACTGTACGATGAGTTATAACTCGTTATAACTCAAGAAAGGGGAACACACAATAGATCTATAAGGTCGCGGTGATTAACTCCCCTCCTAAAGATTCTACATTCTATCTATTGACCTTTGTTTTCTAGTCTACTTATAATTTATAGTAATACTATTATAGGCTTAGACGACAGCCTAACTTTGTTTTCTCTCTTAATATCTTCCGTTAGAGAAAAGATTATAAGAGATGATTAAGTAAAAAGAAACATATAAGCGATACCAATTAAACTTTTAATAATGTAATCGAAGGCGCGATTTTTAAATTCATTGTTGCCAACCATGGACATATTCGGCGTCGAGCCGACTAACTGGAATTTAAATTTCCCGCGGAGCATTCAGGTGGTAGCTCTGCTGTAAAAAATGTCAAGTTGTCACATTTATTTATCTATTTCCTGGCATTGCAATTCGTTTTCACAATTTACTTTTTATTACGAGTTTTGGTTTAAATCAATTGTGTTGTGATACTTTATGCTTAGAAATGTTTACTAGCAGACCTTTCAGTCGAATACATTGTTCTTTTAAGAACCCCTTTTAGTGCGAAGTGTACAAGATAGCTTAATAGCCGTTGTAAAAAACTCAACGCAACCTTATTGGAATATTTTGAACGGGAAAGCGGAAGTAATGCCTTTTTATGTTCCTTAAGTGATGTTAAAGAGGTGAGTTTTGTTGATGCAAATAATAACTGTTTATACCGGATCCGTCTCGACAGTGGCTCACCCCTGTAACTTTTTTATTCTTTCAGATAAAACAACGAGATTTGGTATGTTAGTATATGACATAAATTAGGATTGATTGACATATTCAATTGTTTTCGGTCACTTCCGGTTTCACCGGAAATGGCTACAACTTTTGAATTTTTTTGATTTTTAAATGGCACCGTCGGTAAAATGACACTCTGAATCGTATGACATATCATATGCCAACTTTTGGTATGAACTTTACGCTACCATTTATTTTATGCAAACCCGCAATATCTGTTATGATGAAAAACAGCACCTTCTAACTACCACAGCAAAATGTGTGGCGACAAAGTTTATGTTGTAGGTGATTAAAGAAGAAAGGATATTTTAAAAGATCCCTATTTTGTTCAATTCCGTTAACCTAAACTAGAGTTATCTTTATTTTAATAAAAACTGTTTAACTTTCCCTCACCACTTTATTTTATGAGATGTTTTGAGATATGTAGATTGATGATATATATAAAAAAATGAACAATTTTTCACTGATTACAATAGCAATATTGAAAATACCTCTTCACGTGCATACTTTTGAGAAAAATCCAGTTTAATGATTAGTCATAACAATTATACATGTTGGAATGGAAAACTAAAAAAGCGGATCTGATACGGAGCTTTTTTGAAACACTGGATCACCCTGAATAATTCTACATTTTAAAGGAAATTAAAACAAATATTTATTAAAGCCACTATACAAGGTGTCCGAGAAAAAAAGGGCAAGTATTTTAAGGGGTGGTAGATCTGGCCAAAAGAAAGATATTTTCTCCATATTTTCTCTTTATTTTTTATATAAGTTTACCTTTTTTATCAATGTATCTGGCTGGTTTTAAGTGATTATTATACTAAAATTTTGTATTTTTATATTATTGACTTGTGTGTATGTTTAATATTTTTCACCAATAAACTTGATTTGATTTGATTTACTATTTTTAAAATAAATTCATACTAACCGAGTTAATTAACTTTGAAAATTTTTAAAATAATGGTAATCAATAATCAGCAGCAAATACGCAATTACCAGAATCTCAGCTTGTTCGACGCCCATTGTTAATACACCGACTAAGAAAGTGGGACTCCGATAGATATCAGATCGATGTAATTAGGTTAGAGCTAATAGAGGGCGCTTCTAAACTGTTGGAAAGCTGCTATAATCGTTCATTATTTAGTTTCATTATTTTAGTTTACTAAACTAAAAGAGATATTCAAAATATAGTAGACGTTGCACTATACTTAATAGTAATCTACAATGATTAAAAAACATACAGTGAATAAAATTAATTTAAATATTTTTTTTGTAGAAATTTTAAAATGTGAACTAAAAAACTTATAAATTAGAAATATACAGAGTATGGATAATGTAGGAGGTGACAACATTGCTGTCTCTCAAAGCACTATATTTTAGAAACTGAATAAGTGGCACTCAAAAGTTTTTCAATATTTCACGGAAAATGTGAAAGAAAAATATAAAATTTTCAAAATTTTTTTTTCGCAAAAAAACCTCATGAGCGTGTTTCTCGGGTCGAACTATACTATTAGTTGAAATACTTGCACTTATTTCTGGGATACCCTGTGTAAGGGGATTTAATAAACATTTATTTTATTTTCCGTTTTATTACCAAGTTCCACCAAGTAACGGCAGAGTAAATTCAATTCTACATTTGATACTAACCTCTAAAGGTTTCTTATCACACACATTTAAATGTTCTAAAACATTATTCATGGACTCATAAAATGTATCACATTTTGGAAAGAAGCAAGCTATCTTTGAAGATTCTAATAATTGCTTATTGAAGTAATCCTTTATGAATTTTTCTTGAAAATCAGTCTGTGCCGTGTAAAACTATAAAATACACACTATTTAAACTATGTTTAAAATTAAAAATAATACCTTACTTTATTTTCTTCGACATTATCTCCTTTAAGTTGGCTGATCATTTGAAGAGCTCTAAAATATAGTTGCATTGAATAAAAAATATAAGCTACAAATAATACAAGAAACTGTTGCTACGAGGTGGACTACTGATAAATTTTAAACTAAACAACTTTTCTTAAACTTTTCACTGCTCTCTGTATTTTTCCAAACAAACTCTCTCCCTCTCTCTCTCTCTCTCCTCATTATCTAGGGTGATTCACGGGGATGGTACATTAGACGTTTACGGAGAACCGGTGACGAAATTTTTTGGTAAATTTGGATTTGTACATAAAGGCGCCTGCTCTATCTATCTAAACTACTTTCAGCGTTACCTATACCCTATAACTAAACCTTCCGATCCTTAAGTTGAGCTATTTAAAAATTAATTATTTTATTATTATAGTCTCATTTCAAAAATTTCGTTACCATAACAATTTTAGAAATTTAGCAAGTAAAGTCTAATTAATAATTAATACTTTGAGTAATAATTAATAAAATTTGAGTATTTGTCATGGTGTCGATTTTCTTTAAAGGAAACAACTATAACAGAATTATAATCTTTTAAATGGCTTTACTGAAAAAAACAGAAGGTTTAGATCTAGGAACATAATATATCGTTGAAACCAATTTATTTTGTTTCGATTTTTTAAATAATATACATAGGCTTAAATTTAAAATAACAACAGTTTGAGCGATTTCATAACAAACAGAAATAAATATTTTTGTGATCTCCGTTTGATATCCAACCGGTGATATCCGATTTAGATAGATCGACTTTCCTTAACCTGTAAACATAATTTCAGCCGAATTTATGATTTAACAATGTTTATTCAAAATCGTATTTTTATCAATTTACACGTTTCATTTTTATCTGGAACACTATTAGTGATAGGTATAGGTCAGTACATAGAAAAATTATAAGATATACAAGTAGTGTCAAAAAAAAGTATCTTTATGAAAAAAATCCAAATTTTTAAAAAAGTCCTATCACCGGTTCAGCCGGTTCTCCATAAACCTCTAATGTACCATAGCCGTAAATCGCCTTGTATAAATAACATTTGTTTCATAACTTACTCTCTGGCAGCCTTTCTCTTAGAACCAGGTTCGATCAGCTGATTCATATTGATACCATCAATTGAAGAAAAAGAATCTTCAATAGGCTCCTCCGATTTGCTGTGAATTTTCAAATGAAAACTCATGCTGACAGGCAAGATTTTTTTGCCGCAAATGTGGCATGCCACCTTTATACTGTCCATCTCTGCCGCCGATTTCCGACAAGTCAACTTGTGGGACATGAAACCCACCACGGATTTCTTGGCTTGGTCACATTGTTCGCAGTATAGCGGTTTTTTCTCCTTGTATAATGCGGTCAGAGTTCTGAACACGAAATCTTTGTCTTGTAAGTCCTGAAAATTATACCTACAATAAGCCACTTTATACCAAAAATTTTACTATAAGAGAACTTGTAAAATTTTTGGTATAAAGATAGTCAAAGAAAAAATAAAGCAAGATAATTAGCGGTTATGAAACGTTTTAGTATAAAAATTTTGAAAGCTAGAGTAAGAATAATTAAAAGAAGGCAACCGAAACATCTCAAAAGTTTGATATAATTTTTGGATTATTTCAAAAAATAAGAGAAGTTAAACTAATCAGGTTGGCAGGGGTGGATGGGCCATATGGGAAAACGGGAAAATTCCCGGTGGGCCAGTCCCGATCTGAGCTCAAAAAAATTGGATTAGCAAAAATTAAATGGCTAATCTTCTAACTAAAGTGACGTAAGATCCTTAGTGATCCATAACTAACTAATCAAATTGCATCAGTATAATCGTCAGTTGCTTTTAAACATAAACACCAATTTGTAAAATAACTATTGTAAAATGTCTTTCTTTGGGACACTTATAATTTTAATAATCATCTGTTGTTTGTTCGGTTTGAAAATTTTTGTTATTTTTGTTTAAAATGCTCGATTTTTAACCTTTTTTTGTGCAAAAAAAACGTCCTAGACGTGTTCCTGGGGTCGAAATATACCACCACTGAAAATATTTGCACTTATTTAAGACTCACCCTGTATAGTTTTTACCCAATATTATTTTATTAATAACTAATAATATGACTGACTGGCAGCAAAAAAAAGAATGAATAGCATTAAGTAAATTTAAATTGTCTCGATCTAAATGTATACTAAGAATAAGGTAGCCGTAGATTGACAACTGGGGGCCTCGGTGCAATATTTTTCGAGCTCCCCTTTGTAAAAAGGTAGACGAATTTGACGCGAACTCTGCGGTTGACGGAGAAAACATATCTATGCTTGGCTTGAATTGGGGATGGACTAAAAGCCAAGTCTAAGAACTAAAAGCCAAGTCTAAATTGTTTAAAATATTGCTAAAATGAATTTGCTAAAAATTACTGAGACAGCAGAGAAGAGTTAACTAAGGTTTAAACTAGATTAGATAATAAAATATTAATGTCTCGAAAATCCAAATATTTATTATGGACTGTAACATAGCATTACATTAGAACACATTTATATCCACTGCCTAGGTATTGCCTAGGTTTTTTTCGTTTGAGTCATGGCATTATCATACAAAATGCCAAATGTAGAAAAGTATAGAGGAAAAGTTTCGTGATAAGAACTATATAATAACCTAAAAAATGCTGCAATTTTAATGGCGACCGCGGTTCATTCAGTTAAAAACACATGTACACGAAGAGGCTGCTGCTGTAGCAGAAAGGAGAGAATTTCTTTCTACAATGTGTAAGAAAGTATATACCCAAAAAGCTAAAAGTAATGTATTTCACAGAGGATTGGGTCAGCTGAAATAAATGAATCAGGAAGTCTTAAAGTTTCTCAAAATCGTGACTCAAAATCGTAGACTATTCAAGATCAAATTACCGTTATCGAAATGGAAATAAGGCAGTAGAACCCTGTAAAACTGAGCCATTTTGTAGTAAAAATTTAGATGTCCGACTCAATATTGGTCTTTACGAAAATTTTGATCAAGACAATTTTTTTTTAAACCCGAGGCAAAAGAGCTTGTTTGCACGAGCGAAAAACACCCTTACTTATATATTAATAAATAAAGTATGTTTCTTCGTTATGGTCATTTTCTTTTTGTGGATTTGGGCCGGTTGCCTGTTTTTCCCGGGCCGGTTTCCACTTCCCCGTCCACCCCTGTAGGTTGGTACTGACTACTTAGTTTTCCACTTATCAACGAAAGATATGAAATAGAAAGAAATTACATTAGGAATATAGCTGAGTGCAATGAATATTCTCCTTCATTAGTTGATAAAATAATTAGAAAACGTAGGTATAAGTTTGCGATTTCTGCGAATTCCACTTTTCAGGTGGGCGGCCACTGAGAGCGAAACTAAACTAAGCCAAGCGAAGATAAGATTTGTAAAAATCAGCTCACATACTTTTAAATGCATCAGCGGCCACTTGAGCGAAACTAAACGAAAATTATGAACGAAGATTCGAATCGTAGTTTAGGTTCCAGCGAATTTTTCGCAGCGATTATATTCGCGCTATGATAGCAGAGATACAATACGAAAACGTAACTAATTTAGCTGACTACAGAGCGAAAATCGTTCCCAGTGGCCGATGAAACTTATTTTCGTTTAGTTGCCGTTTGTTTTCATATTCTTAGCTTAGTTTAGTTACGCTCGCAGTAGCCGCCTGCCTTTCAAGTAGAGAAAGATATGTCAAACTATACTCAACGGCACGAAAAACAGGGATAAATATTTTGATATATTTTAAAGTTTAATATATTTTGTTCTAGTGGGGTCATTTTAATGATTTCTTAAGCAATTTGTAGCTAAATTATTTGACTTTTTAGTATCTTGTTCTAAATTGGAAATGGAAGTTCCTATCTGTCAATTATGAGGGAAAACAAAATGTTGATATTTTGGTGAAAGTTTGAAACACCCTGTGGAATATGTTAACAAAGCAAGGTATTTAAAAATAATTTTATCAACTAGGAACATCTTCTCTCGACAGTTTGTTATTTGGTTCATTTGAATAGCTTTACTTTTATTGGAGATTGGAGAGAATTAATAACGATTTTAGCATTAAAAGCATGCCTTTGCTTTTGGTCCTAATCAACACACCTATGAAATACTGTTTATTGTTCTTGTAATGTCACTATCATTCAAAAATCATATTATTATTGTTTATTAACAATTACACTAGCAGATATTCAAGGAAGGCAATGGCAAACCACATTGAGTATATTTGCCTTGTACTGCCTCTCAAATAGTGCCCTTCGGATTCGGCGATAAACTGTAGGTCCCGTGTACTTGTGAATTACTGATGACATACATAATAAGTACATGGGAGAGGTAGCCGACGTTCTGTGTAGAGTACGGCACTGTAAGAAGAAAACTAGCAGAGATGGTTTTAAGTTCAGAAGTTGTATCGGCTATTGTTGATTTAATTGAACAAGATAGAGATCACCCTGTGGAATGTGTTAACAATGTAAGGAATTTAAAAATCATTTTATCATCTAGGTACGTCTTTTCCCGATAATTTATTTTTTGATTCATCTCAATAGCTTTATTTTTTTATTGGAGAAATTAGCAATTTTTGCATTAATTTTATACTGTTTTTGTAATGCCACTGTCATTGAAGAGTCATATTATTATTGTTTATTGACGTTTATTCTAGTAGAGATGGTTTTAAGTTCTGAAGTATCGGCTATTACTGCTTTAATTGATTATGGTAGAGATCAACTTTTGGACTAAAATCATATCTGCTAGAGTAACTGCCTAACAAACAATAATAATTGATTTTTCAAAGACAGTGACATTAAATAAGTCATAAACATTATTTTATAGGTCTATTGACTAAGACCAAAAGCAAAGTCATGGCTTTAAAATAAAAATTTCGAAAAATTGTTAGTGTCTTCAAAACCGAATATCTCCAAAAAAAAGCTACTGAGATGAATCAAAAAACAAACTATCGAGAAAAGATACACTTAGATGATAAAGTGATTCTTAAATTCCTTGCTTTGTTAACGTACTCCACAGGGTGTTTCAAACATTCACCAAAATATCAACATTTTGTTTTTCCTCGTATAATTGACAGATGGCAAATTTCATTTTTAATTTAGGAAGATAAAACTCAAATAAAGGTGCCCGGTGGCGTAGAGGTACAGGCTCTCGTCTACCAATCTCAAGGTGTGGGTTCGATTCCCACACCCGGCATTTCATCAGCCGACTATTTTTGTTAAAATAAAAATAGTTTGGGTACCTAGGTCGACTCAGCCTTAAATGAGTACTTGGGATTCACAATCCTGAGGTAATAATAGGCGGTTGAAGCGTAGTGCTAGCCACATTACCTTCCTTGTATACCGAACGGCTCTAGTATAGCAAGCTGTACCTTGCTACTCCCAAGGCGTTAAACGCTATATACGGGAGCTATTATTATTATAAAAACTCAAATAATGTAGCTATAAATTGCTTAAAAAATCATTAAAATCAGTGCACTAGAACACAATATATATAAAAGTTTAAAAAACATGAACATTTTAAGGTGGCCGTTTTTCGTGCCCATGAATGGAGATTTAGAGCGCTTGTACACACACCGACAAAATCAATGCCGGAGACGGAGCCGGCTTTGCACACGTTCCGACAGTCGTATCTAATTCTATTGTATTTGCCGATCCCCGACTTTTTTACCAGAGTACGTAGATCGCCGAGTAGCGACAGAAACCGTCGGCTCTTTTGATGTGGTGGGACCAAATTTTCTTTCTCTCTCTTTTGACGTGTTTGACAGATAGACTACGTATTTAACTGCTCAACTTATGAAGTGGTCCTATAAACATGGTATACACTGCTCACAATTTGAAGTGGAATTAATTATAAAGTTTTATATATATCTTTTTTGTTTTGTTTTATCCTTATTTCTAAATTTGAATGTATAAAATATCTTACTGCTAATAAATAATTAAAAAAACGATTCGTTGCCTGAGGTATACTTGAAATAAAGTATATAGAGATATTTGATAAATGGCAACAGTGGCAACTTCGCTTCTTCGTATGACAGATAACCTACTTATTTCGCGCAGCCGCAAAGAAAATTGAAAACTACTGTCGCTACTCGTCGGTTTAGGTACTCTGATTTTATCGGGTCGGAGTACATGTGAAGGAACTAATTTATTTATATTGCAATCAATTTCAGTTCCGGCACCAGTTTTGCTAGTGGGGTCATAATTGGGGCTATAACAATAACTTTTTAAGGTATATAATTATAATTTTAGATGTTCATAAAAGATTTAATCACTAGTTGACTAAAAAAAGTAATTCATTAGTTCATTAATATTGCAAATTATATTTTATCCTCTCATAGTATATGCTGTATATGTATACCTATTTAATGTTTTGATTATGTAAGGAGCACTTTATTTACTTTTTTTTCCATTTTTGCTATTGATCAAATCGGTGTGAGAAACTGTGAAGCTGTAAAATGTTGTTTCGGGAAAGTTGAATATCCGGGAAATTTGAGTTATTGAATGTTATTTTACCCAACAACGCCCTAATTCTGCTCTCCTGTACGCGTTCACATTTTTCGGCAATTTTATTAACATTTGAAATTGTCAGAATACAACGCGACGCGACGCCCAGTTCGAGTTCATTTTCACTTAATTTTTACTACCCGAGACAACGTTATATCATACAAACCTCGTACCTGAGTGAGGAATTTATAGAAGAAATAGTAATTTTCATTAAAGTGCAAAATAATGCACAAAATCACAATTTTTCCGATTTTCACTGACAGTTCGACAAAACGATCCTTTAAGGCAACCGTTTTCAAAGCGCTTAGCACAATCAATAAAGACGCCAAGCGCGTCAGATGAGAATACCCAACTCGGTAGTTAAGTGCCCGCTCAGCGAAAATTAACGTCATATACGCTGAGCATCTAAACGCGCTTAGCGTTTTCTAAATTACAGAATTCGGGCCCTGATGCTTCCAAAACCAAAGCAGGGACAGGGATAGGAATATTTTGGGCGGAAACTAAATACTCCGAACCAATAGGCTCCTACCACAGTATCCTTCAGGCAGAAATTTACGCTATCGAAAGATGCGTACAATTTATTTTAGATAGGAACTATCGAAAACAGGAAATTGCCATCCTATCCGATAGTCCAGTAGCACTAAACGCGATCAACTCAGTAACCATCAATTTGAAGTTGGTTAAAGAATGCATAGAGAAGCTCAACAAATTAGGCAAAGAAGAAGAAAGGCAATTAGGCAAAGAGGAATTAGGCCGAGTAGGAGAAGTCCTCCTACTCTGGGTGCCTGCTGACCAAGGGATAGAAGGCAATGAAAAAGCAAATGATCTAGATAGAAAAGGAGCAAACACTCCACTAACTGGACCAGAACCGTTCTGTTCTCCAAACGGGAATCAACTGAAAGCGGAACTGAAGAATCTGGAAGACTCCATCCGTAACTTGGAATGGGTGTCCTCTAACGGTCTAAGACACTCGAAAAAGTTCATCAGAACTTACGACCGAGAGAAATGAAAGGTTTTCCTTTAGTTAATTAAAAACAATCTTCGGATTGTCACGGGGTTTCTAACAGGACACTGTCTCCCCAACGAACACCTCAGTAGGCTGAAGCTGAAAAACAACGGCGAATGCAGATTTTGTGGGGAAAATGGGGAAACACCAGAACACCTTATCACTGAGTGCGCCGAGACGACGACCATTCGTGCCATGAACTTTGGTACTTGTCGAGGATGGGGAGCTGGCCTCTGTGGAGCCGTCTCAGATACTGGCTTTTGTTAAAGCCCTGAGACTGTATGATGAGTTATAACATCATAGGGGAACACACAATCGATCTGTAAGGTCGCGGTGATTAACTCCCCTCCTAAACATTCTACATTCAGTCTGTCACTGTCAACATTATTGCAAAATACCAAAAGATATAGCTTTATATAACATTATTTTTCATTGGTTCTTACTTTCTATTTTTAAGTTATCAATATGTCAAAAACTTTTTTATCAGGTATTCAAATTTGTATTTAAGTAAAACCTTTGAGTTGTAATTTTTATCAAACAGAAAATATTTGATGTTTCAAACAGTATATCTGTCCCATCTTCAGAATTAGAGGAATTGTTTCAATTATATATTAATATATAATATAAACAATAATTTTTAATAATCTCAAATAAATAATTACAATAATTAATTATTAATTTGCATACAATTTATTTTAGATATGGCTTGGTGCATTTCAGTTGATTTGAAAAAATTCCGAAATCAGAAATTTTCGTATTTCACGCCTTCCCGGTACAGTTCATGTTGATCGCATTAAAATAATATTGAAATCGTGGCTTCGTCATAATATTTAAGTATTTTAGTATTTTACTGGTACAGTTATTGAAACTATTAGACTCCTCAATAAGTAATTGATAATTTACGACTTGGCAGCTATAAATATTGTTCAAAACATCGAAAATTCTGAGAAGCGTTTTCAACATTTCCCTCGTATAATAAGAATAATGACATATCCATAGAAAAATAGGTTGACGTAACTCAACAGTAGGTTATGAAAGTCACGTAACATTGACATTTTTCATTTTTTATTCACATTTGACTAGTAGATACTTGCGAAATTGCGATGCTGTCAATATGTGCTCAACGCGTATCCAGAAAACGATTCGTACGGCAACGAGAATACCAAAATCGAGTGCTTGGCGTTCCGCTAATCGTATCGCTAATCGTATACTTTGCTCAACGTTTTGCTGAGTAAGCGTTTCCTCCTTCCAATCCTCTTTATTACTCAATACTACAGTGAGGTGTTTCTCAAAGTTGAAAATTCTTGGTATGTCATCCACTGGGAGTTGGAGAAGTGGAATTTCCTTTTTGGTGTGGGTGTTCCAAGCCCCTGACTTGAAAATTCTCCCAGTACTGCTTCCGTCAATGACCATTCTAATCATTGTCGCATTGGCATAACTACCGACGACTATATGCAGTGGTGTTAGGTCTAGAATGACCTCCTTGGCTGCTGTTGGACATGTTCTCATGGCACCTGTGATGCAGATACATGCCAGACTCTGTACACAGGCTTTGCCTTGCTGTACGTTGCTCTAGTTTTGTGTACCAAGCAACTGCTCCATAGGTAAGCATAGGTCTTACTATCATGGTACACATCCAGCGCAAAATGTTAGGGGCGCAGCCCCACCTATTTCCCGCCAGTCTTCTGCATAACACCTTTGTAGCTTTGCTAGTATTTTTTTGCTAGACTATAGAACCGTTTAACATAAAGAAATTATCCGATTACAAAATAAAGTATAAATGCAAAAATGAATGCGCTACTTACCAATGGAGGTTCTCCTTCCCTCCATGCTAAGTTATTGTGACGCCGGTATTTATGGTGCGCCCATCTAGTCTTTGGCACACTCGTATGACAGACTGCACAAGTCACCGAGCCGTTAGCGTTCACAACTCCATTACACACCTCCAAATGTTCGTAAAATACCTTGGAACTGTTCGAGGTGAAACTGCAATTCTTGCATTTGAACTTCCCATTGGACCTTTTCCATTGAACGAGAGTTGTTAAAACAAACGTTTCATCGTTGATTGGCTGAAAAATTAAATAAAACAAACTTTCTCTATGTGTTTAATATTGGAACGTTCATTTTTAATGACTATAATTTGCTTTAATCATACCTTTAATCATAAAGTGGCACAACGCATAGTATTATGACTTTAGTTCACTTTATGATTGAAGGTGCGATATGATTTAAACAGAAGAAAAAAATTACAAAAAGTCTTCTTTTGAATTCATGTAACAGAAAACTATCACTAATCTAACCAGGAAATTGAAAGCATTTTATAAAAATATTGTTACGGATTCCGTGGGTCCACTATTTAAACTCACGATAAAATACTTAACGAATTTATTTGTCTCACTCTGTACACACAACTTATACTATTTACAACACAATTTATGCAACTACTATTACTCTAACGGTATTTCGCGATATTATCAAACTTCAGACTTCAGACTATCTTCAGACTGCTCCAACTGTCAAAGCGCGGGCCTTATATACCCCCTGGCGATGGTTTCTGGAATTTTCTAAAGAATTCTGTAATTCTCTTTTACTTTCTGGCGAATTCGCCAGGTTCCTCAATGCACGTTACGGTTATGTAGCAGTAATGCAGTTATGCAACCAGTAATACACCCTGATCTTGGCATTGCCCCCTTCCCAAATTTGATCGTCCCGATCAAGGTTTCCTGTCTGGTATCTCTTCAATCGATCGAGATGAACTACTTTCATCTTACTTCTAGGGCTGCGCTGAATCCGGTACACAACATCATTTATCCTCTTGATGACTGTATAAGGACCTTCCCATGCTGGAGTTAACTTTGGGGACCTCCCTTTCTTGCGCTGAGGGTTATATAACCATACCATATCGTCCTGTTGAAATCCCGTAGAATTAGCTCTGAGGTCGTAACGAGCTTTCATCCGGTCACTGGCTAGCGCAATCTTACTTCTAACGGCCTTATGAACGTCCAGTAATCTTTCCTTCCTAACGATTCTTTCGAACGACAGTCCAACGTTATCTTGTTCCATTTTTCCTCCAGATCGAGTACTTGGTCCTTGTCTAGCTGCGCAAATCTTACAACGTTGACACCATTTCTTAACATCTTCACAATAATTCACCCAGTAAAAACGGTTTCAGCTTGCTCAGGGTCTTGTTTACCTCAAGATGGGCTCCAGTTTTACCACCGTGAATTTCTTCCAATACCTGGGTAACTTTCTTCCTTGGTACCAGTAACTGAGTTGTTACTGTCCTGCCATCCGCACTTTCCCACGTGCGCTTTAACAATCCATTCTCAATCACCAGTGAATTCCACTGAGCCCAGAGAGCTTTGAAAACCAGCCCTCTGTCCGCAATATCCTGGCACGGTGGTCTCTCGCCGTTACCTTCCTTGAGCCATAGTATTGCTCCGATGTCTGGATCTTCCATTTGATCTTTCCTCAATTGTATCGTCGTCCATTGTTCGTCAGTTCTCAGTTTAAAATTCTTTACTCTGATGGTGCTTTCGCGATGTTGCATTTTCTTGTCCAGGTTAGCCCGTCGTCGATCTGGCTCGTTGCCGATAATTTGTATCCGTCCTACACGGCACCCAGAGGTTTTCTCTATTTTCCCGAACACAGTCTTCTTGGCATCACCAGGTATCATCACAATTTCCGCTGATCTTGCTTCCATATTTCCTGGTCTCTTCTCTTTAGATACAGAAAATTCCTCATTTCCGATTTTCAGGATGTTTCTATGGTGATCGAACGAAAAACCATGTTGACTGATCACATCCATACCCATGATAAAATCATCTTCAATGTCTGCCACTAAAACGCTATGCCGAAACTTCAAATTCCCTAACTCCAGTTCCATGAAAGCCTCTCCCCGTACAACGGCCATTTCCCCCGTAACTGTACGTAAATACACTCTTTTTCTAAGAGGTATCATCTTCAATCCTTGCACTGAGTTAGTCCGCACCAACGATACCATAGCGCCTGTATCCACAGTCATTCGAATTCTTTTACCATTGACCTTCCCGTTGATCACAAAACTGTCAGCGGTTTTTCCTAGACTCCTAATGGAAAACATCCTAGAGGCTCTGTTTTCTTCAGCCAATACTCGCTCATTACTATTTATTTCCTGGTGCCTATGTTCTCTTGATGGTAAACGGAATCGCACCTGGGCGCGGCAATCCCGTTTGATGTGGCCACTCCTGCCACATCTATAGCAACTTATGTCCTGGGATCTTCCGATGTGCCGATGTTCTCTTGCTGATGAACGGAATGGCATTTGGATGCGGCAATCCCGTTGGATATGGCCATTCCTGCCACATCTATAGCACCTAATGGATCTTCTCTGGTTCTCTGTCTGGGTGTTGTTGACTCTCTTGTTCACTAGTAACTCACATAGTTTATTAAACATCTCCTCCAAACGTATGTGAGAACTCTTTGGCTGTTCGTCAACCGTTACCGAGCCTATCTTCAGTTTAGGAATGGCGCTAAATGCAGCTTCTATTTCCAGCGCCCTGACCAGTGCTTCGCTGCTGGTAGAAAATCGAGATATTTGCAGCGCCCTCTGTAATTCGTTGTCCCTCAGTCCGCTGATAAAGCACTGAGCAGCGAGTTCCTCCCTAAATCCTTCCGGTGCTCCTGGGTATGCTAGATGTACCAGCCGACATATGCTAGATGTACCAGCCGTTGCTTCAAATTCCTGCAGACTCTCTCCGGACCTCTGCAGGCGTGTCTTGATCTGGGCCTGGGAAAGTTGGCGTCGATGTTGGTCGCCATATCTTCGGTCCAATGCAGCGACCAAAGTCCCATACTCCTGCTGTTGGGCTGCAGGAATAGTTTGTAGCAGTTCGAGGGCAGGGCCACGCAGCGCGATGACAAGTGCCGCTGCTTTCTCCTGGTCAGTCCATCCATTGGCAGCAGCCGCTGCTTCAAACTGGCGGTGGTACATAGTCCAGGTGGTTTGTCCATCAGTGGTTGGGGCCTTAAGGTTCGCAGTTCCTTGAACGCCAGGTGTTCTTACTTTTGCCTTGGTCTTCTGTAGGTCCATCTCTAATTTTTCCATTTTCTGCTGAAGGCGCTCCTCCAGATCTTCTACGGCTTTTTGAAGGTGGTTCTGCTGTCTTCTTTCCGAATTTTCGAGACTTTTCTGCATGCGGTCTTGATCTTCAATTTTGTCCTTCTGGCGACGTACTTCTAAATCTTCAACAATTTTCTCCAACCGTTCTTGTCTAATTTCTTGATTTTCTAGAATTTTCTGAAGCCGGTCCTGTTCTTCTTGTTTGTCGTGCTGTCGTTGAACTTTGAAATCTTCGAAAATTTTCTCAATCCGGTCCTGTTCTTCTTGAAATTTTTCTTCGTCTTTTTCTTCTGCTTTCTCTCTTCTCATATTCTCCATAAAATCGCCCAATAATTTGCTTACTTCCTCCATTTTCTTCGCTTGCTCCCTTGTACCAACCATAAAAATACTCTAATTCGGTCTAAAAATCTTCCAATCCACTTAATTTCTTCTTAAAATCCACTTGAATCGCACTTCCGACACCAATTGTTACGGATTCCGTGGGTCCACTATTTAAACTCACGATAAAATACTTAACGAATTTATTTGTCTCACTCTGTACACACAACTTATACTATTTACAACACAATTTATGCAACTACTATTACTCTAACGGTATTTCGCGGTATCAAACTATTCAAACTATTCAGGTATTATCAAACTTCAGACTTCAGACTATCTTCAGACTGCTCCAACTGTCAAAGCGCGGGCCTTATATACCCCCTGGCGATGGTTTCTGGAATTTTCTAAAGAATTCTGTAGTTCTCTTTTACTTTCTGGCGAATTCGCCAGGTTCCTCAATACACGTTACGGTCAAGAACAGTTAACCTAACAGCACTGCTCATTCAGCCAAAAGTGTCCGCCAGGTGCATGCGAAAACTACTCGCTTTGTGACGTCATTGTAGCCCTTGTTACGGTTATTAGTCCTTATCCGGTAACCAATAATACACACACGTGCATTATTGGTTACCGAATGCAAAACGTTCATTATTTAGTTTATTTATTTAAACACCTTATATGTATGCAGTAAAGAAAATGAACTGTATAAATCGTATTAAACACTCGGATAATGCATTTTTAAGAACAGCAGGTCCCAGCATCACCTTTTGCAAGCATTCTTTTTAGAGTACTTCCATATTTTGCTTTAAAATAATTAATAAACAAAATCGCGGGCACTTAGTATGCACTTTGTCACAATCCACAACACAAAATGAACGTATTTATACACTCTATAGCTCTAAAAACTTTAAAGACACCTTTTTCACATTTAAAATTGACAAAATCATTAACTCAAAATTTCTCAGCTCTTATTTTTATAAGTTTACCATAGGCAACTAATAATACACACTATCATGACAAGGCCACGAAGGCTTTGACAAGGGCTACAATGACGTCACAACTGTCAGTTGAAGCGCGGGAAGAGGCGAACGTACGTCTTATGGGGATGAGCAATCCTATTAGTTTACCGTTCTTGCGTTATGGTTATGTAGCAGTAATGCAGTTATGCAACCAGTAATACACCTTGATCTTGACAATATATACAATTCTACAGGGTATCCCCAAAAAAGTTATGCATCAAAGTTGTTATTTTTTTGTAATGGAACACTCTATATATTATAGTCTCTATTTCTTAATGCTGATAGCACAAGACCTTTATTATAAATGCAAAAGGCGTTTTGTTGTATATAGTGTGACATACCAAAAGATGGAACCAACTTCATTTTAAGGGTATATGTTCCATGACATTCAGACAGTTTTAACAGTTAAGTTTGTAGATGGCACAGGGGTTGCTCGTATAACAATAGGTCATAAAAATATTTTTAGGTACTAACCGCACCAGTGTCGGCTATTAGGGGTTTAAAGATTTATTTTAAGTTTTGTTAAAATATATTTTGTTACACCATGGAAAATAATTATATAATGGCAATACAAATATTTATATACCCGTTATTGGCATTTTCAGTATCATTGGATTATACGAGTACACTCAATTATCGTAAATATTACTGAAGAAAAGTTTTTATTGTTAAATAAATGTGTAACAGGTTACACACCATAAATAACATACCTACAAAAAAACAATATCACGCGTTTAGAAAAACATTTCAATAAATGTTAAGTATTTATTATTATATTAACTATTTGGTACCAGCTCCTTTTGCGACAATCCGTTTTCGAATGAAATATCCTTTTGAGACAATCTACCTATAATGTCCACTTTCCTTCAAGAGGCGGTTGGTAATTTTTCTACTAATCTCGAATGATAACTGGCGTTGTCGATAACAATGACAGAGTTTTCTGGAAGTAATTGGGAAAATTAATCTTCAAAAATATCAGCCGTCATTTCTTCATGATAAGCCTTGGTGGATTTAAATTGCAGTAGTCCATTCTGTACGAATTCATTATCCCCAATATGCGTTATAATTAGCCTGCGTCTTTTCCCGGAAGGGATTTTCAAACCAGTCGATAATCCTTCTAAAAACGCTTCACGCGAACTGCCAATGCCTTGCTCAACAGAATGACAGAATGTCCTTCATTCAGTCATATTTCGTCTAGGTATAAAATAGATTTTCCTTCACTGCGATATTTACGAATGTCCGTTAGATATTACCTTCTTCAAAAAATTATGTCTTCCCTGTCAATAAGTACAGAGTTCCGATTGTACTTTTCCCACGAGAAATTAATTTCCTTTAAAGTTGTCCAAAGTTTCTCTCTTTTTTTTACAACTTTCTAAATTGTATACAGTTGGTATTTTCTTTTTTAAGTAAAAGGCGTGAACATGTCTCTTTATTATGCTTCTAGAACAGTGTTTCTCAATCTTTTGTAGAGTGAAGAACCCTAGAGTGCACTTTTTTTTTTCTAGGGAACCCCTACCCTATATTCTTAAATATAAGACATAGTGCATGTTTGGTTTTGTGTCAATATATCGATATTAATACTACTTATTGAGCTTCTAAATTAAGAGTAAATAAAAAAATGTAAGAATTAAGTACATAATATATTAATAACTCAGAAACTGTAAAACACTTAAATATTCATTACAAATATTTTTTGATGAGCTTAATGCGAAGGTGGGCCTGTTTGTTTGATACAAGTTTGTCGATATCGGGTTCAATGTTTGAAAGTTGTATCCGCATATCTGCTTCAGGATTAAGTTTACTTCTTAAGTCGGTTTTTGTAAGAGCATACTTCGAAAACCCTACTTCACAACGGTAAGTTGTAGCAAACGGCAACAATTTTTTAACAGCAAAATTGGCTAATTCTGGATATTCACTTCTAAGCTGGGCCCAAAACTGCAACAATGTAGCCGAGTTGAAAGTAGTTTTAAGGTTTCCATCGGCAGCAACATCAATAAGTTGTTCAATTTGTTTTACAGTTAGGGTTTGATGAAACTTTTCGACTGGGACTGAGAATGGATTGCGAACCCAATCAAGATCCTCTTCTCGTCTTGGAAAATATTCTCTGATTGAAACTTGTAGGTTCTGAAGATGGTTTATTATCTCCGAAGTGATTTCTGCTGACAATGCAGTCTTCGACTCACACACAAAATCATGCAGTGTAGGAAAGCACTCCGAGATTCCTCTGTTTATACACGATTCCCAAAACTGTATTTTATTTAACTTGGCCTGGATTTTGTCATATAAGGAGATTACTGTTACAGAAGTTCCCTGGAGTGATAAATTTAATTCATTAAGGCTTGAAAAGACATCGGCAAGATATGCCAAACATTGTAACCACTTGATGTCAGTTATTCTTGATGATAATTCAAATGAAGAGTCATTAAGAAACACCATCACCTCATTTCGCAGAGTAAACAGGCGAACCAATACTTTTCCTCGCGATAACCATCGCACTTCGGTGTGAAGCAAAAGCGTGGTGAATTGGCTACCCATTTCTTCACAAAGAACAGCAAAAATTCGTGAATTTAGAGGCCTGGACTTTATAAAATTTACAATTTTTACTGCTTCATCCAAAACGTTTTTAAGAACGGGAGGAATTTTTTTTACTGCCAATGCTTGTCTATGAATAATACAATGGCTACTTTCAATTTCTGGAACGACATTTTTAACACGTGCAACAAATCCAGAATATTTACCAGTCATTGCTTTTGCACCGTCAGTGCAGATATTAATGCACTGATTCCAATTAAGTTCTTTTTCAGTGATATAAGAATCGATCATCTTAAAAATTTCCTCGCCGGTTGTATGGGTCTTCAAAGGTTTGCAAAGTAACATTTCTTCTTCTGCAGAGTTGTTGTGTATGTACCTCACAATAACAAGCAATACTGCACACCCTGCCACGTCTGTTGTTTCATCAAGCTGTAGTGCATACCAACCACTACCTTTTATCCGTTGAATAACTGTATTTTCTATTTCGTTACTAATTTCATAAATTCTCCTATGAACAGTATCGTTTGAAAGTGGCAGCATTTTTACACTATTACTAAACTTTTCACCAATCATGGTTTCGACAACATCTATTAAACAAGGTTTAATAAGTGTTTCGGCAATTATATGCGCTTTTCCAGCCTTAGCTATGCGGTAACTTACTTGAAATGAGGCTTTACATGCTTTTTCATTAATGCTGCTACCCACTAAAGACGATAAATTCTTTTTACTTTTATTCATTTCCACTAACTTGCGTTGAAAAAAATCCACAGGTTTGTCCTTGTATTCACTATGATTTGTTTGTAAGTGTCTTAGAAGTTTCGCTGGAGCTAATGAACTGTTGCTGAAAGTCTTAAAACAAATTACACACTGGCTGTTTGGCGCACTAGGATCCCCAGTGGAAGCAAAACCATAGGATAAATATTCTGGGCAATATTTTCTAATTTTAATTTTCTTATTCGCAACGGGAACAAAACTTGAAGTTGACGGCTCATCGCTGCTAGCATTACTCCAAATCCCTTCAACAGTTTCATCTTGACTGATGGTTGGATCTTCCTCTACCTCTTGTTTTCTTTTAAAACAACCAGTTTTCAGCCATTTATCCATTTTAAATAATAATTACATAAGAGTAAAGGCAAGAAAAACAAACAAATCGTCTTTCAACGGGTTTAAAACAAACACTTTCAATGCGAAGACTGCGTAAGGAAGGCTACCGCATAAAAACAAAAGCACCTAGGACAGCGGCCGGCGATTACTAGAAGGCACAAAATAGCAAAATACATACACGGCATTACAATGACTGCAAAGCGAAGTAAAATTAACGAGTCGCAACAAGCGCGCGAGCTCGGGCTCGGATGCAGATCAGAAGGGGAGTACTAAGAATATTTTTTTTATTTACACCATTTCATTGTTGGGTGATACCACAATTTAAAAAAAAAATTCTTGGCTTCTTGCGGAACCCCAATCGCCCCTTTGCGGAACCCTGGGGTTCCGCGGAACCCAGTTTGAGAATCACTGTTCTAGAACAATCATCAACCACAAATGGCTTCCTCCCCGTAGATGTTTTAGGCTCAAAAACAGTTCCACTTTTTCTCTCTTTCAAAACTCTATAAATCGTAGCTTCACCAACTCCGGTAATATTTGAACATTTCGTAACTAGACTTCTCACAGTAGCCGAGGGATCTTGATGCATACAGAAATCATGAACATTTAAAAGTACAGTTAACTCTTAAATAGAAGAAGATATTCCAAGCAAGAATACCATTTATCTTGCTTGGAATAAATATATCCATGTTTGCAAATCAGCACAGCAATTTAAACACAGAGATACTAAATGCACGTAATAAACGTAATAAAAAGTACGAAATAAACGTAATAAAAAGCGAACAATTTTTGGCTGCAATATATTGTGGGCTCATTCAAAAGCAAAACAATGTATTTTATTAAAAAATAAAAAGTCTGCTTCTGGAATTACTTAAAGTTGTAGCGCCTATGGTTTAAGTTTTATGACAAAAGCTCTCGCTGTGCTATCAGGCTGTTTGAAACAGAATTTGGTTTTTTTTTAGTTTATAGAAATTTAATATATTTTTATTAGCTTAATAATAATTTAAAAGTAAAGCACTACATCTTACCAATGGTGTATCGCCCTTTCTCCAAGCCAAATCATAATGTTTACTACTTTTGTGTTTCAACCAATCTATATTTTGCACAGATTCATTACAAATCATACAAACAGTGCTACCTTCTTCTTCAATATCAATACTAAAACAAAGCTGTTTTAAATAAGTAAACGTGGGGAGTTTATCTCATTTATGTTCTAGGTATATCACTTTTAAACAAACTATTAAAAAAATTAAAACCTTATCACTGAATATGTTAGCCCATAATGGGCTACCATAAACAGAATTTGGTTAAATTTGTATGAAAATTAGAAAGTTCTTTTTTGAAAATTTTAGCGTCCGATATTTTTAAAATTCAACATTTATCTCATAATTTTTTGTTTAAATTAACAAAAAATGGACAAATAAAAAACTGTTCTGACAATTGTTAAATATTTTTAAAGACGTTAAAACTTTTTATGATTTCTGTTCAACTCATTAGAATACTGTAAAATTTATATCTATAAATGTTCAACATAATGGCATTTTCTACATAGGTAATCTAGTAACAGATGTATGCCGGGTGCGTCTCAAAAGTGGCTCTCCCCTATAACTTTTATATTTTTTCAGTTAAAAAGACGAGATTTGGTATGTTAGTATATGACATAAATTAGGATTGATTGACGTATTCAATTGTTTTCGACCACTTTCTGTTTCACCGGAAATTACTACAACGTTTGATTTTTAATTAGCACCCTCGGTATTTTTTTACTTAATTCGATAGAAAATAACAGTCTGAATGGAATGACATATCATATGTAAACTTTTGACATTTTCGCATATGGTTTATTTGAAATTATAACTTGCGGTTCGTAACGAAAATTTGACTCGAAATACCAAGTGTGTGGTATCAACTTATTCGCAAAAAAAATTCTTTTTCCAAATATGCTAATGAGCCACCTTCATTCCATTTGATAAAATTGAGATAAGATTAAAAATACGATTTACGGTATCTTTTAACTGGCCAGGACAAGACACTAAAAAGATTAGACGATCAAATCTATTTTTCCAAGGCTCCTTGATTAAGAATTAGTGTTTTTAACATAGACAACATAGAATCTACATATAAAGGAGGCACTCTAGATTGAATTTTAAAATACGATTTTTTATTAAGCGAGAATGTGAAAAGTTGACATATGATATGTCATTCTATTCAGAATGTCATTTTCTATCGAATAAAGTAAAAACATACCGAGAGTGCCATTTAAAAATCAAAAGCTGTAGTCGTCTCCGATGAAACGGGAAGTGACCAAGAACAACTGAATACATCAATCAATCCTAATTTATGTCATATACTAACAAACCTAATCTCGTTTTTTAATCTGAAAAAATAAAAAACTTATAGGGGTGAGCCACTTTTAAGACGCACCCGGTATATCTAGAAGTAACTCATAAAATTCTATTTATCACCTATTTAAATAAAACTTACTATTTCTTGGGCCTGCCTCTTTTCTTTTTCCCACTCAATGGATCAGGGCTACAAAAAAAACATATTTTTATTGCATATATTTTATGATTGTTTTTAGATTTTTTAATTTTTTGAATCGTGAATCTTCAATCATAAATGCTCTAGCTGAAAATTGGTCATTATTGGCATAATCAAGTAAATATCAGACGCTCGCAGAAATAATTTGATATGAATTGCAAAAAACTACATTTTTTATTTAATTAATACTACTAAGATCTAAAATTTTATGTTTTTAATCTGCTTTTATCATTATTATTGCTGCATTTTTTAGTTCTAAGAATAAAGCCTAAATCAATAAAACAAAAAATTGCGTTTTAAATTATTGCCATTTCTTCTTATTTATATTCTATTATATCTGTGATTTTCCTTACCTCTACCACAGATTAGGTATCCTATAAGTATACAGATAAAAATCTTGTCCCTAATTCGTGGTACGAAAATTGTTTTTTATGACGATGAGCAAACAAGTAAATTTTCTTATACGCAAAAATAAATTCCCGTTTAAACAGCGTAATAACCGGGCCGGTCACAAGGCCGGTAAGGCGCTGTGCACAATTTTAGAGGCCATAAGTGGGCGTGCTTGTGCGCAAACTAGTAACCTAACTAGTGCGCGACTCCGAAAATTGGAACAACGAAAAACAATGCTTTTGACGATAAGTTTATAATCTGTACCTCTACCCTCCATAGTTAGAATTAAGAAACAGTGAAGCATGCGCAAAGCGGATTTCACATAAAATAAAATAAGAAGTTAACAATGATAAAAAAATACTGATATCAATTTTATTTTGGTTGTATGAAAGCAACTAGGATCTTCCATATAACCAACTTTTTTATGTTATTTTATTTTTGTGTTTCCAACGTAACCGAACCAGAAGTTCTCATTAAGTTTTGATATGAAAATTTTGACTGTAGTATCCGCCAAATATAATTTAATCAAAAACCCTTTCTGCAAGGAGACTTATCTGAAAAAATTTGCCGCAGTGCAGAGAGTTTTTGCAGTGCCAAATGGCCAGGTGTCATATATAGATGAGATGCATAAAGTGCTTTTTGGTGTATAAAAAAGTTATCTCAAGACATCTTTTCATTTATTTATTTAAAAAAATATTACTAATTCACTAATAGCCTATGAGCCAAAATGTCTATATCAATTCGAATAGTACATGGTTCGCTCCAAAGTATTTCTTTACCGTGCAGACGGCTGTCGGCTATACCCGTCATTGACATCAAAGCTGTCATCATGCCAGAGGCGCTATTATGTACACGACCTCGACAATCGTCGGTATCGATAAGTTACGAGTTACGATAGCTCTCGATACGTATGGCCAATGAGCGTCGTGTTAAGGTAGTATTTTTATATAGTAAAAATGTCTTAATTGTTGTTGTCATAGTTACCAATCGGTCATAGGGTATATATCGCAATTTGTACCGACGAGGATCGGTATCTCTACCGTGCCTTTCTTAACTCAACGACAGAGAGATTATTACAAATTTGCCATGTCCTATTAATGACAGCTAAAACTATGACAATAATTAACGACGACGGTCATGGTAAAAAAAATTGTACACATGTAGCAAGAAGTATATTCATGCGCTAATATGATAAAGAGATAACAATAATATTTGCTGGAAACAATAATACTCAATATTTCGTAAAAATGATGTATTAAACTTTATTGAGTTATTCAATTAACGTAAAAATGTTAGCAGGTTAACACGTTTCACTGACGAAGTTATGCAATTTTATTGGTATATATCAAAAATGACAGCCCATGTTTAAATATGATTAGAGCATTGAACTATATAACTAACGTAACTGGAAAGGTTGCGGCAATGCTTTCACATATCGATTTTTGAGGCGCATTTGTCATAGAGTGAGAGGGATAATAAAAGGGGTTGTTGTCTTTGTCGCACTTGCACAGATATGCGAGTATTGGCGATGGCGTTTACTGTGTTTGGATTTCATTGACCAATTTTAGCAATTTAAGAGTTTGTTTACCTGATTTAGGATTATCAGTGACCGGAAACGTGTGTTATAAATACATTTTAAGATTTGCTTTAAAACATTTTGTAGTTTTGTGCTGTAAATCGAGTGAAGTTGAAGTGTAGTTGAACTCTGAAAAAACTTTTTAAATCTGTGAGTTGTTGGTTTATAAGAATAAATAACAATGGTCAATTTTTGTGCTGCATATGGTTGCAGTAATGAATATAACCCACAGAAGCCAATTTCTTTATTTGTGTAAGGGGTACAGCGTTAAAGGTTTATTAGGTTATATTGTTTTATTGTTTACATTTTATGTTTAGGTTTCCGTTTAGGCGCCTTGAAATCCTTAATCTCTTGATAAAAGCCATTCGACGAGAAAAGTAGAAGCCTTCAAAATCAAGCAAACTGTGTTCGGAGCACTTTGTGCCATCTGATTTTCTGATTAGATTGGGATCAAACCAAAAAGTACTCAAACCAGATGCAGTTCCAAGTATTTTTTCCTTCCCCAAACATTTGCAAAAGAAAAGTGTTGTGCAACGAAGGGACTTAATCGGGAAGGTAAGCCAAGATTCAAATCTTAAACATTGGAAGGGAAAGGTTTTTGTTTTTCCATCAATCGCTTTACTCTAAAGGCCTTTTTTTATCAACTTTTATTATTTATTTAAGATAGTATATAGTGCCGAACTCATGGACATTGATCAGGCTGAAATAGAATGTAGTCAACCGGAGAGATTCAGCCATGAACTTCAACCACTTCTGCTAAAACATTTGCTGATCGTAAAGTTCAATGTTCACTATTAAAACCAAGAAGCCGCATAAAGTTACGCAGACAAATAAAGACTTTAAAGCAGAGGATAAAAAGAAGATTAATTTAAATTAAATAATTAATTTGTTAATTTTTGTACTTTTAGTAGTAAATAAAAATGTAATTTTATATTTGTATATCTTTATTGTTTTTTATTTGATCCCAATTTCCCATATTAGTAGAGGTAGGCATTATAATTTTTACCTTTCTACTATAGCCAAAATTAAATTAAATTAGGTAAAAGAAATAGAAAGTAAACCTTTCTAGTTTTTCACTTCCCCCGATTGGTAACCATTAACGATGTGCCTTTATTAAATAATGCATATCATGCTACAAATATTTATACCTACTCCAATTATTGAACAAATAAAACATTGTGAATTGATTTAAACGCCTTTTAAAACAAGAACATTTATTATTACATTATTATTTAAACAAATAAATTAAAAACCACATGGCTTTCCATCTATATTAATGAGCCAGACAAAGACAACCACCCCTTTTACGTTCCCTCTCTTTCTATTCGAAAATTTGCCTCAGGCGCCACTACGCCGCTCCCTTTCCAGTTACTTTAGTATATAGTTCATTGGATTAGAGTAACGGAACGACGGACAACGCATGACGAATGCACAGAAAGCGTTTTTTGCTTTTATTTTGCGATTTTACCGTTTGAAGCTTTTATTTCGATTTGTGTCCATTAAAAACACGCAAAAGAAGCGGCAGGTCTCCAGTTTCTATCAAGGTGTCAATTAGTAACGAAAAAGCACTTGCAACTCCCGGCCCGTTCAACAATCAATCCTTCATCACAAACAAACAAAAAAACATCAATCAAGAAAGAGATAGGTGAGATCGGCGCGGTTAGCGTTGAAAAGACGAAGATGAAAGATATGCTCCTATCGAACGTTGAACGGGTTGGACATTCGACGACAAACGAAATCTACTGTTAATGCCAGTGGTGTGCGTAAAAATAATTATTATTCATTTATTTTAGGAATTTTAGTTTATTTGTGTATAGATTTTTTATGTTGGAGTTTTGTTGTTACTTGTGTGTTATAATATATTATAATAAATAATTATAATTATGTAATAGACTAGTAAATATTACTAATTATTCACGCTTTATTTTTTAAGGCTAATTTTAGGACATGATTTATCAAACAAGTTGAAGTGAAACTTTTTTACACGCGCTAGGTGTAAAAATTCAAGGCAGTCACATAGGAGCTAGCGAGACGGCCCTGACACAGGAACTAGAGGTAACGGCTTAGAAATACGTAGTGACGCGACGTGTATTTGTGAGCAGCCCACGTGTTTATCAATAATATTGATATTTTAATACAAATTTTATAAAAGCAAATCAAATTATTACGTGAAAAAAACCTCTTATTACACGTAAAAAACTATTTGTTAAACGTAAAAACTATTTTTTATATATATATATAAATATATATATATATATATATATAAGTATAAAATTATTTGTTGCCCGTAAAAAACTGTTTACGCGTATAAAACTATTTGTTACTCGTAAAATAACATTTTTTACGCAATAAAAAACGTACACGTAAAAAACTGTTTTTTACGCGTAAAAAACTATCTGTTAATCGTAAAAAAAACTTTTTTATGCAAGAAAAACATTTTCTTATATGTAAAAAAACTCTTTGTTACACGTAAAAAAAAATTTTCTACCCGAAAAAAAACTATTTTTTACGTTTAAAAAACTATTTGTTACACGTAAAAAAATATTTTCTACCCGAAAAAAAACTATTTTTTTACGTTTAAAAAACTATTTGTTACACGTAAAAACCTATTTTTTACGCGTAAAAAATAGCCGTTACTCGTAAAAAGACTTTTTTACGCAAAAAAAACTATTTTTTACCTGTAAAAAACTTATTTGTAAACCTCTGGTTTAACTGTCTATTGACGGGCATGTCCCGACATCCGTCTAGGTAAAAAAGTTAAATTTTAAAACAAGTCCAGAATGAAAAACAGTGATTTAAATAATACTTTTAAGTTTTAAGTTAAAAAATAAACAAATTATGTACCTGGAATTATTAATATCTTTTCCTTGCATTAAATCAAATAACTGATCTTTTGTATGTGTTGTAACGCCAGTCCATGTATATTTGCCGTTTGATTTTTGTTCTTCAACTGAGTTATTAATGCTTTGCTCATCTCTTAGATTATTTAGATCGGCTTGATCTTTTATAATTTCATTTTGTTCACAGTCAATTGCTCTTCTGTTAACACATTTACTGTTTAAACTTTTTTCTTCTTCAAACGAATCATTAGTGCTTTGCTTATTATTATAATCTGCATCTTCAATTTCTGCTTTTTTGCTAGTTCTAAATTTTTTGTTAACGTGTTCCATTTCGATATCCGAATTTTCTAACTGAAAATAGTTTATTTCTTTACGCTTTCTCCCTCGTTTAGAGGAAGAAAATACAGGTTCTGGTTCAGATTCAGGATTCTCGACTGTTCTGTTTTCACCGTGTATGTTATTAATTTTATTATTTCCAAGTTCCAGTTCCGATTCTTGCGGCACAACTTCAGATTTTCTAGGCCTGCCTCGACCTCTCTTTTTAGGTGTCACAATAGAATCATCTGAATTTGTAACTGCTGTATTTTCCCAAACCTTTTTATCAATTCGCATGTTATTAATTAAATTGACATCATTAATGTCATTATTTTCGAGTTCACTGGATAATGATAAATTATGTCTTGTGTTATCTAGATTCAACGACTGTTTAGATTTTCGACCTCGTTTCTTAGGTTCTTTGTAGCCTTCTGCTGAATTATTGTGTAAATCATTTTCCAAAATTGGTTTACTATCTGTATGCTGAAATGACTGTTTAGGTTTTCGACCTCGTTTCTTAGGTTCTTTGTAGCCTTCTGCTGAATTATTGTGTAAGTCATTTTCCAGAATTGCTTTACTATCTGTATGCTGATCAATATTATTTTTCTCATTACATCCATTATTATCATTTGCCAGTTCTGTATTTAGAGCAATTTGTTCATCACCTAACTGCTTCCTTTTTCCATCTGTAACAAAAGAATCATGTAATTTTTCTGATAATGTATCAGTATAACATACATTCAAGCACCCAAATTTGAGTGATATTATCTTGTTAAAGAAAGTTTCTAAGAATTAGTGTTAATACAGAGAAGGTTCCCATTCATAACGAGGGACTGTTCGCGAACGTTCAGGATCATTGTGTGGAAAAGTCCCCTTATAGGCTTGGTGCATTTCAGTTGATTTCAACAAATTCCGACCGCAGCGCTTCAACGGCAAAAATCAGAAATTATCCCTACCTATTTCACGCCGTCGCGCCGCACTTATGGGGTATTTTACCTCAAAACCTGGCCAATAATATTTTTATTTTTTTTTGCATTCTTCCGCCTTTTAAAATGTGAGAAAATAACAAAAATGCTTCAAATTTTAATACATACCTAGCGTTTTTTTATTGACAAGATTAAGATTGAATTATATAATATAAAAACAAGTTTATTCAGGGCGTCCCTCAATAACATGTCAATACTCGAGGGAGTGATTCCTCAGGTCATTTTATGGAGAAAAGTTCCCATAAACATAGGTCCAGAAATGCATTGTTTCTAAGATACAGGGTGATGAAAGTGAAAAACACTACATTTTTATTCTATTAAAAAAAACTGCCAAACTCGCAAAAATTAGCAAAATTTCTTATCAAGGCCTCAGCAAAATAAAAACACTAAATCACCAGTTGTTTCTTGACGTTTGTGTGATGTAACGCTGTTTCGGGCAGTAAAAATAAGTGAAAAATAATTCAAAAAAGCCACATCGCATAATTTTTGAAAAAAAAAGTTGGATATTTTTTTTTTCAAAAGAGACCTACAAAATATACAAGGAGTTACAATATTCTACATAGATATAGAACATCTATGTATTTTTTAAATCAAAATAAGTTAATTGGCCCCAATTTGCCTCTATACAAAAGTGCTTTGTTTGACCATTGTCCATTAGAAGGCAGAACATGTATAATCAAAAAGTAACGAACTGAAAAACCTTTTCACTAATAAAATAAAAAAAAAGTAGGGTTCCATTTGGAAAAAATGATTTATGATATTTTTTTAATTGCTCAATTCCATGACAGCTACGGCCAATATTATATGACATTCAATTCATTTTCTTTTTATGTCACAGTGTCTGTGGTAATAACTAAATTTTACGTTTAGGCTATACAAATTTTTTTGGCAGGCAGTTTTATTCCTCCAAAAATTTTAAATATTTATTTTTTCTCAAAAAACTGTTAATATTAGATATAGACTGTTTAATATCAAAATTCATAATATTTTATAAAAAAATTAACTATGTAAAAAAATGAGAGTACCCATTTGAAATAAAGTTATACAGGGTGTCTCAGGCTGAGCGTGCATTAAAAGTTTCTGGAGAGCTACGATATCTAGCTCGGAGATTTTTTCCCCGCAGTTTTTTTCCTCCAAAAATTTTAAATATTTTTTTTTCTCAAAAACGGTTAATATTTAGGTATACGTTTAGGTATAGTGTTTGATATCAAAATTCATAAAATTTTACGGAGAATTCAAGTATGTAATAAAAAATGGAGGTACCCATTTAAAATGAGAAAGTTGCTGTCAACTTCCGGTATTTCCGGAAGTGCCGCCATATTGAAAATATTTTTAATCGATAGATCTCGTTGTGAAACAATAATGTGCAAAAAATGCCCGATCTAGATATTGTAGTTCTCTAGAAACTTCTAATGCACGCTCAGGCTGGGGTACCCTGTATAGTGTTTAATATCAAAATTCATAAAATTTTACAGATAATTCAAGTATGTCATAAAAAATAAGTATCCATATAATTTTTGTTTTATTTTATTTAAAATAAGAAAGTTACTGTCAACTTCCGGTATTTCCGGAAGTACTGCGTATTAAAAACATTTTTAATAGATAGATTTCGTCGTGAAACAATAATGTACAAAAAATCTACGATCTAGATATTATAGTTCTCTAGAAACTTCTAATACACGCTCAGCCTGGGACACCCTGTATTAATGTGTATATGTAATGGTAGACATACCAGGTGCGTTTCAAAAGTGGCTCACCCCTATAACTTTTTTATTTTTTCTGATATAAAACGATATTTGGTAAGTTAGTATATATATGACATAAATTAGGATCGATTGACGTATTCAATTGTTTTTGGTCACTTTCTGTTTCACCGGAAATGACTACAACTTTTAATTTTTAAATGGTATCCTCGGTAGTTTTCTACTTTATTCGATATAAAATGCACTCTGAATAGAATGACAAATCATATGTCAACTTTTGATATTTTCGCATATGGTTTACTTGAAGTGTAATATGCGGTTCATAACGACAATTTGACTCGAAATACCAAGTGTGTGGTACTAAATTATTTGTAAAAAACTGCTTTTTCCAAATATGCTAATGAGCCACACTTGTTCCATTTGAAAAAATTGAGATATGATTAAAAATAAGATTTGGACATCTTTAACTGGCCAGGACAAGACACGAAAAACATTACACGATCAAATCTATTTTCCCAAGGATCCGTGATTAAAAAAATAGTGTTTTTAAGACAGCCATGGCACTCTAGATTTAAATTTAAAATATGATTATTTTTCAAGCGAAAATGTCAAAAGTTGACATACGATATGTCACTCTACTCAGAGTGTCATTTTCTATTGAATAAAGTAGAAATATACCCAGGTTGCCATTTAAAAATCAAAAGTTGGAGTCATTTCCGGTGAAACAGGCAGTGACCAAAAACAATTTAATACCGTCAATAAACCCTAATTTATGTCATATACTAACATAGGTACCAAATCTCCTTTTTTATCTGATAAAATAAAAAGTTATAGGGGTGAGCCAATTTTGAGAAGCACCAAATATATATGTATATGCACCAAAAATGAGAAAAAAGTCAACTTTCCACAGTATACATAGTTTGCCAAAAAAACACATACAGAGAGAGAAAAAAATAAAAACGTATTTTTCACCACTTAGCTGATAAATTAAAAAAATCTACTTTAAATCAATAAATCTCTAAAACTACTGAACGAAAGTGCATGATCTAATATCATTAAAAAGGGTATTGAAAGACCTTTCACATGAGGTATCACTTGGCCCCCCTTTCCATTTAAGAATTTAGGGGTGGCGACACCCCCCCTTTGGGGGTTATAGGTGTGAAAGTGGTTTTATGATATTTTCTTTTCCCCCTCGACCAGTCAACCACAAAAAAGAGGGCTCTCTTGGGGGCGGTTAAGCCGCCTGATTTTTATTTAAAACATTGGAATAATTGAGAGATGTTCGATTAAAAATTCAATTGCGTCTCAATCTGAGACCCCCAAGAGAGCCCTCTTTTTTGTGGTTGACTGGTCAGCGATGCTTCATGATGCGGTGACAGTTGTGTGGAAATCATTTCTGCATCGACTGGAAGGAAATTTAAGAAACGAAACTATTTTTTTATATATCAAAATAAGCATTTTGATGCATGGAAGACGTGTATCAAATATACCATCAGAGATATTTTCAAAAAAAAAATTGGAAAATTTTACCATCCTGTATCTAAAAAGTTAAGATGTTTAGGACATATGAAGTTTTTTTCTTAGAATAGGTCCAAGAATCACCTCCTTAAATATTAGCATATCATTAAGGAACACCTTGTACCTTGTATACAGGGCGAGTCTTAAATAAGTGCAAATATTTTCAGGGCCGGTAGATCTTGATAAAAGAGACATATTTCCTCTTTACCGTTTTTCAAATAAGTCCAAAATAACCGAGGTATACCTACTTCCAAAACATAAAAAAAAAATTGCTTAAATTTTGAGAACCACTTTATCTTTTTTAGGTTTTCTTTCTTGTAAATTTAATCTACTACATATGTTGCCATATTATCAAGAGATTATGTTTTTAATTAAAAACTAAAAAAAATTTCCTTCGTCCTTCCAATTTTCAAATTTTTTTAAAGCCAAAAAAAACTCACAACCGTGTTTCTGGGGCCAAAATATACTACCCCTAAAAATATTTGCACTTATTTAAGACTCATCCATGGACACAAATTGAAATAATGAGGAGAAATATACAAAAAGAAGGAAAAATGCAACAGCCTAACAATAAGGTTACGAGTTGTTGAGGGCTAGGCCATTTAATTTTTCCTTCTTTTATAATGGACACTATAAAATATTAATTCTGTCGAAAAACTTGCACATCTTTTGGAGGAAAGAATCGTTTTTAACCCTTATACACCCCTGCTATTAATATTTTATTGAATTCAATTGACGGATATTTGTACTGATAATGTTGCATAATGAACATGAACCTTTTGATAAACATTGGCTGAATAATGGACTACCTGTTATAATGACAATTAATGACTGACGTCTGGTCACTTTAATGGTGATAATAATGGGCGCGTTCAGGGACGGTCAGCGGCTGAGTGGCTGAGTAAGCGGTTTCCCTAAACGGTCTCTTTTTACACACAAAAACAGGTCGGTCAGCTGCTGTGTTCCCTGAATGCGCACAATGACTCTACAATATAAATATGCCAAAGACAGCAATATATATTTATTCTAAATGTCTTCAAAATTCTACTCTTAAAGAATTCGAGAAAATTCAGAATAAAATTTAAAAAAGTAACTCATTTTGCAGGGCACAATAGATCTTTAAGGTCGTAGTGATTAACCCCCCTCTTACTCAACTCATTTTGCAAGGTATTTTCTTTAAGCAAAATGTAAATTCTCTACATTTGCCTTTTATTCTCGTTCGTTCTTGGGCATCATTCTCCAAAAATAAATTCTCAAGCCATTTTTTACAATACTATTAGACTACTAAAACTAAATCTTTTGTGACAATTTGATAATCAATTTAATAGTTTTTACCTTCATTTGAGGAATTGTTGATAGCTCCTGATAGAACATCTTCATTTTCGTGCAACTTATGATTTTCTTCTAGTGCATCCGATTGTATTTTTTTATTTTCCATTTTACCTAGTATAAATTCAAGTATAAATCAAAAATATTTTTTAAAAATAACTTATAGGCATTAACAATAATTATACAACACAATACTAATATAAAAATATAAAAAAATATTAAGATTGTGGGGTTTGAACTCACGACCCATGGTATATTACACAAAACACATACACAAGGAGAAGTGCGAGCGCCTTGCTAAATATTGGAAAGTGAAATTGACGTTTAAATTTGACACTGTTGACAAGTCTACTGCTACTAGCGCCCCCAATATCGCTTGTAGGAACTACGGACTAGATTGTCACGCATGGCGGGAAATTTAAAAAAATAAAAAATTTTAATTCTTCATTTATTTTTAATTATGACATAGATAAAAACACAAAAAATACACCATTTTTTAAAAATATGTTAATATCAATATCAAATATACAACAGAAATTAATTTCACCACAATAAATTAATAAAATTAAAAAATAATGTTACAAGTAGATCAAGAGACAAAATTAATTATAACAAAACTGAAAAAAATGGCGTCATAGATGGCTTAGAAATGACGATATATATCATAATTTTGAAAGTAAAATTATATAGGAAATGTCATCGATCATCATTTTGAAGCCAACTGGACGATTATTTCAAACATACAAGCTGAGTTCGTTCATAGTGCTCTGAGAAATCTAGATAAACAAAGAATAATAAATTAAAAGTATTCCAGGGAAAAAGAGAGGAAAAACCTGTATCGTCTCTGATATCTGTCAGGGTTTTGTTGAAAGTGTCATCTTTTTGCTCGAAGTTTTCAGGTCGATTAAAAAGATGACATTTACAACAATACTTTGCCGTAACTTTCACAAATATCAGAGAGAGAGTACAGGTATTGCCTCTCTTTTCCTCTGGGATGCTTTATATCTGTTCTTCTTTGTTTACCTATATTTCTAAGAGCATAATGCCAAACACGACTACAGTATATAATAATTTCAATATCCTAAGTGGAAAGAAAAAAGATCACCTTTCTGTTTTGTACTATGGTCCCTTTCTTCCGATGGCTCATCTCGTTGAATTTAGGAAGGTATCCATAAAATATATATTTTATTATCGGTCCTGGGATGAAAAAATATAAAATTCAATTTGATTTGATGATCCTTTTCTGTCACCTAAATCAGGAGAATGACAATGAGCATGTTAAGATGAAAAAAAACTTATTTATCAACACTTACCAACACGTTAGTCCAAGGAGTTTTATCAAAAACCTATATTTGCCTAAATAATTTATGTATTCAATTTACAAAGCAAACTGCAGCGTGTAAACAAAAGAAATAAAATGGCGACAAGTCAACGTCAACGACCCGACAAGGAGAAAAGTGGTGTTCGAATAACAAATTATGGGTTACAAAAATTGTTTTTGTCTCCTTTCAACGCACACTTTAGAAAGAAAAAGAGATGAACAGTTATACTGAAAGAATGTCAAGGTTTTATCTGTCACTCTTGTCAATAATTTATCGGTAAGGAAGGTTCCTAGAAAATCGCTTGTAGTCAAGTTTTCAACCATTTCCAGTTCTCCCATAAGAAGTGTCATCCACCTGGTATATTATCTATATCATTTTGCCATCAGTCTAAAAATTGAGTGCAAAATGAACTTCTTATACAGTACCTGTACAGTACTATAGAGCACGGCCCTTTAACCAAAGTAGTTACTTCAAGTTACTTGAAAATATAATTAAAAACAATTGGTAAAGGTGTGGATCCGGTGGCTGACCTTGAAGCCCATATTTGCTGCATTTGATCATCGATACTACGCAAGCGCACATCGTCGATGTTGCCAAATTGCAGTTTATTTTCGAATTATTTGCAGTTGAAAATTTTTTTTTTGAGTGTTAATCAATAATAATACAAATTCTATAATTAATTTTATAATTTCAGATTTATCTTGATAAGGTAAGAAGGATAATGAAGATTGTGAAATGAAAGTATTATGAATATATAAAATTGTAATAATATAACATTTATTTATATATTTACATTAGAATTAAAAATTATCATGTACGGATTTTTTCTTAATGATTTTAAACTTATTAGAATTATTTTATTCCTTTCAAGTTATTTAATTTCTAGTTATTTACAGGCAACAATAGTTTTGATTATATGTATTGATATGTTTTGAAATACTACCATGACGAGTCTTATATAACAATACACGTCAATGGGAGATATAGAGGTAACATTTTACCTATAATGTTACTAATATAATATACTTTGATTATAATGTTTGTATCATAATTTCTTAAAAATATCAAGTTAGTGGATTAATAGCAATTTTTCGAAGAGTGTGTTGATAAGATTAAAATAAGCTTTATGTTTTATCTTTTTCTCGTTAGAAGGGAGATGGTTTGTGTCGTAGAATATACATTACTTATATTCTTTTCTTAATTTACTGTAATTTGCACCAAATTACAGTAAAACTTATTTATTACTGCAACCAAACCAAATCGTATTATGCTAAGAAAAAAGACAATCACATAAATTACATGTAAGAATAGAGAAATCTTAAGGTAGCAGAAAAATTAATGCAATATATGTATAAGCAGAATTAAACAAGGTAACTGTAAATGTTGCTGAAGCTGATTCTACAATTTTAATTACGGAGGCTAAAAAGGCCTTCTAAGGCCTCCGTAGTTTTGATGGAATGTTAAAAAACCTATTATGAACATGACATGGAGCTACAGTTTACAGCATTTAAAAATAAAAAAAAAGAAAAAACTTGGACACGTCCCTTTTAATCTCCCGAATTTTTAATAAAGCACTTTTGAAACGTAGCATAATAATCTAGAGCAATTAGATTAATTATAGGAATCTAGAGTTTTATTTCTATTTAATTTTATTCACTATGAAAATACATAATAAGCGTTCACGTTTCACGTGTTGTGCGAAATATTAAAATAATAATATAAATAATATACCGCGTACTATGATTGAAAAAAATGGCGTCAGCGATGAAGTCAAAAGCATGTCAAAAGTCAACCCTTTAAACATTTTAGTGGGGTTCAGAAAAAGTAACAAGCGATTTTTCGCCACATACTTTTGTTAGTTGGCACCTGGTTGGCACAGTTAGTTGGGTGCATAGAATCCAAGACTGATCCAAGAATCCAAGATAAATCCAAGTTTTGATTCAAATCTCGAGTCTCAAGCAACGGTCTCAAGCATGTCTCAAGTCTCAAGTCAAATCTCTGTTTCCGCCAGGTTTCTGCAAAAAAAGTATTTGAATCACAGAACAGATTAAATTTGAATGTGTGACTATTCGTGAAGTTAGCAACGGGGTTTTCAATTTTCAATGTACAGTTTGGTTTGGTTTGGTACAGTAAGGGTACAGTCCAAGGTGTACAGTCAACGTCAATGGTCATGCAGAAACGTTAAAACCACAAGAATAGATATCAACCAGAAGCCTAACTTGAGAACGGGGCTTCAAGCCCCGTTCTCAGAACTGCGACTATCGCCAGCGACACGACAAAAGAACCAATCAGATTTGTACAAAATTCAAACAGCTGTCAATTTTAAATTTAGTAAAGCTCCCATTGGTCGTTTGAAGTGTCAATCAGTGTCGCTGTCGACACGACGCAGTTCTGAGAACGGGGCTTTAGAGTTTGCGCGGGAAACATCGCCTAACCTAAAAAGCGGTAGAACCATAGAAATAGAAGGGATAGAGAATGAGCTTCAACATGCGCGGAAGGTCTAATCAAGTTGGGCGCCATATTCCAGGTCTCCGTGTCATTTTGTATATAGGTGGTAATCTATAAGTAATCAAATATCAATTTGCTGTTTTCAACCATACGGGGGGCAATTTAAATTTAGTGAAATTCTATCATTTATTATGGTTAGTTAACATTAATATGATTTATTTAATTATCAGTTTCAAAACTGCGTACAATATTGGTATATAATACACTAAATATAAGAATATTCTGACAAAAGACGCTACGGACAGATGACCTTTTTCGTCGTTAAACACTCGAAATGCCATTAAATAAGTATTTAAATTATTTCATGTTTACTTATACAGAATTACGCGTTTCAATTTAAAATTTTTGCAAATTTGGTAAAAATTGTTCTAAACAACTTTTTGTTCAAGTTGTATATTCATAAAAACATTTGGTGCATAATTATTTTTGATGATTACTTACCTTGTATTTTTTAATATAAACCTAGAAAAATATGTTTTTGTTTTATTTTTTTATTCGTCCCTTCAAATTGTATTACCAAAATTGTTACATAACATGTCTTCTAACAAATATTTTCATAATACATAAACATCATTGATTTTATTATGGGTATTATTATTAGTATTTATCCTGGTTTTTGTCGACAAAAAAAAACTCAGTCTTGTAATAGAACATCAATTTTATATTTCGTAAAATTATTTTGATACAAATTCAATTTGTCAAAATTCAAGTCATTAATATATTGATAAACAACCCAAATTATTCCTAAATATTTTATTATAAAAAAAACTGTTACCGGTAAGTTTGTAAAACACATTATCGTTTGTCTTAATACTACAAAAAATAATTTATTTTTTGCACATAAGAAGCTTGTTGATCCTTATTTGTCCATACCAAAATTCTGTATGTACAACATACATATACCTAATTTATTAAGAAAATTAGATTATATGATCTCAGAATTTTAAGAAATTTTTTTTAAGATAAAATAGTTTCTTCTCAACTGTAATATTGTCAACTTTGGCCTGTATTTTATCTATTTAAAAACATGGGATTGACAATCCCCTGATTAAGTTTCATTGCATCAAATACCTTTGCTATAAATCCTGGCTCACAATTTAAGGCCATTGCAAAATGCTTTTAAGCTTCATCATAGATTTTACAAGAATAAAAGTGCAATATTGAAACAAAGTAACATTGTAAGCTTTTAAATATCATCTCGTTAACAATTATGAATATTATATGATTTTTCTCAGTGATTTGTGGCACAGATGCAAATTAATATATGCCCCATAACAGTTTTTAAATAAGAAACTTCTGCCCACAGATTTAATTTTCTTATTGGCATAATACCCTTTCTTCCTATATAAATCTTGCCATTTTTTCAGTCCAATGTTCCTTGTTTTTACAGTTGTAGGAATACAACCAAACCAAACCAAACCAAACCCTTTCTTCCTATATAAATCTTGCCATTTTTTCAGTCCAATGTTCTTTGTTTTTACAGTTGTAGGAATACTAAAAATGTTGACTATAGAACTCGATACTATGTTTGAAAAAGCCTTCATACCTGTAACTGTGCATAAATCTAATTAACTGAATTCTCCTCCTCTTGACACTCTGAACACGGCTGCTGCTAATGTTAGAAATATTTAGCACAAAACTACAACTACCTACAACAAACTTTACAATAAAAGTGTTAAATTTTCGCTGTTCGATTAAAATACCCTATCTTATGTTTTCTTTTCCTCCAAATAATCTTCTTGTCAAGTAAGGACCAATCTTATTTGATATATTTCTGGTCACTTGAACTTGTGCTTTCATGGACACTATAAGAGTGCACTGTTTTACAGAAGCACGAACATTGATTCCAAGTATCTTCTTCCTCCACACGTAATAAAAACATCCTCTTTAAATGGCCACATCATACACTTATTTTTGACCATTCCCAATTACAATCACGATTTTTACAAATCGCCTTTAGGAAAACTAAAAATAAACAGTTTTGAATCATCTGTAAACACGATTATGTTGTATAAACTTACACATGAAAACTAATCATTATTCCCGGCGTATTAGCTTTCTTAGAATGACTATGAATATACAACAAGCCTTTTTGAATTAGTGTTTAGAATAATTGAGATAATAATAAATTTTAACTAGATAATAACACAAACGAAAATCAAAACAAAACAAACAGATGTCAATTAAAGAGGGGAAGTGACAGCGAGACCAGGGCCATGTAAGTGAAATAGAGGTGGGTTGTGAAATCGCAGTCCGCTACTTTGTCACAGCTCCACCAACGTCGCAGTATGTGACTGCTCCAGTTCCAAGAAAATCGCAGTGACATTTCGGAGCAGTTTACAAGTTTAGGACATCTGCGCTCGTGAGTAGCAATAGGAGCAATAGCAGGCAATAGTGTAAATTCTGAAAATGCTCCTAGCCCCGTCGCCCGGTCAGACTGTTCCAGTCACAGTCGTCGCAGGTCGCAGTCGACTGGAGCATAGTATATTGAGTATATTCTGTGTACTGGAGCTGTTGGGAGTTTGGGAACGGGAAACGTAGCAGCGTTCGCTTTTTCTTTCATGAATCTAAATAAGATATTTATGTATTATATATTAATCACAAACAGATGTTTTTGACAAAGGTAATTTTTAACTTGTTAGTATGTTTATTTGTTAGTTAATTTTGTATCTGTGTTTTGTTGTATATCCTAAATCTTTTATTTGATCTTATACATTCATATAAGTTTTATTATTTATATCTATTTTTAAGGTCTGATGATGGCTAAATAGCCGAAACCGGTCACTAATAAAGATTTTTTTGACAGTTTCGACTTTGAATTGAATATAACATTAAGTTTTTACCATGGGCCACCACTCTGTGAAAATGAACAGACTCTTTAAGATATTTATAGCAAAGTGCTTGGTACTTAGAAACACTCAAATTCTTCTGAATAGACTAAAAAAATATAGCAACATCTATCAAACTAAGACATCAGTATAGTACCGTACAGCCGCGATTTTAAGAGCTCTAGGGGCCCGTAGTTCGGAAAAGTTCGAATCTTGTTCGCAAGGGCCCGGGAGGCTTGGGGCCCGTCGGTGACTTACCCCGATTGCACAGACGTTAAAATCGCCACTACTGATCGAAATAAAAAACGGCGTCCAGTTGGCTTGGAAATGACAATCGATAACATTCCCCATAAATTTTACATATAAAATGCCAGCAATCTTCATTTCATAGCTATCGCTACGCCGTTTTTTCGATCATACGATATAAATAAATAAAAACTAGACGATGATGTTGCCTATCATAATCACACCTATAGTCCTGTACTTTTTTAGTAAATGCAACGAACGGTGCCGAACACCGAGTGCGATTTTTCGGAGCAATTAACCTATAAAACTACATTTTTAATTTATAGGTTAATTGCTCCGAAAAATCGCTGCTACTTGTCACAGTGCTTTTATTGGAGCAGTCGCAGAGCGTAGCAGCTCCACAAAAATCGCAGACTGGCCCACCTCTAAAGTGAAATATTAAAAATGGTTCCAGCAAAAGTTTCCCAATTATGACGGGTGCTGGCGCTGATCGTCAAAATTTTTGGACAGGGATTTTGCTTACCGACAATACAACGTGAGCTACGACCGGACCAGGACCAATCAGAATTATCAGTCTTTCTTGGACATTTGCCGCGGAAGTGTGTGTTAATTTCTGTTGTGATAAGTGTGGTTGTGTTTGCAGTTTGATTTCTCGGTTTTGATATTATGTTAAAATTAATTTTGAAGTATTGTATCACCTGTTTTTATGTAATAGTACTTTTTTTAGTTCTATGATCTGATATGTTATGATTTGTTAATGTTTGTTTAACAATGTTATACCAAAGAGGTTATACTTAATATACTTATGAATTTGCATAGCCTATCTTTTTTATCAATAAACTTCAGATTATTTAATTCCTTTTGTTTCCGTTTGTAATTTTATTTTTAAGACATATTATGTGATTGTTTCACATAATATGTTTTAAAAATAAAATTGCAAATAGCGAATAAAAATAATTAAAATAAAAAAGTGTATTTTACAATTCCCCCCGGCCCCGCACCCCTTTGGCTAACCTATAATGTCAGCTATGTCGAGAGATGGCGTTACGAAAATGGAACCGATTTATTACAAGGAACTTGGGCTTCTTTTTCGTTAGTATATTCTGTGCAGATCTCCTGTCAACTTTCTTTATTTTTTAATTGTTCATTGTTTTCCTAGTGACGTCACAGGTGGTATGCGCGAACTGAACGAAATTGGAGCCGCTATCGATCATACCTTGTATTCTTTGTACCATGCAAATACGTTTTAATAAAATATACGGAGAGTACCGCTTAAATTCCTGTCCCGATGTTGAAGGATGGCTATAGAATGTCAATGCATTTCCTACATAAGTCTATCCTTGTTCGGGAGGAGGTTTTCTGCGCTTGCTCGATCTGTAAGCACTTTGATTGGACAGTTCCAAATCATATGATATATGATATGTTTTGTTTTGGTTTTATTTATTTTAAGTTGAGGTTAAAGACGTTCTCTAAAATCTTTCGAAAAATTGGAAGCTTTTTGTTAAATATTCTGAAATCAAATAAGTTTGATAATGTAACATTATGCGCATATTTATCAAACGAGATATTTTAATCGTATCCAACATGTTATGGCAAAACACTTTTTCGACCAAAAGTTTT